ATAAAATATAACATACAATACGCGGTGACGGTAAAGACTACGAATATAATCTATCTATTAACTAAACTCTTATAACTACAACGACACAATTATACCTAACAACACGTTTACACTTAGCAACACGAATACAACTAACACCTTTTCTCACAACTCTCTCTACGAAGTCTAATATACTACACGTACTACGACAGACACCACACTCTCTGCCCTTGCATCCCTATTTAAAACCATACATTCTACCCTCTTTCATACCTATTCTCTCTTTCCAATCACACTTTCCTACGCACTCCTTGCAATCTTACCCTCAGCGGGTCACTTAGCCCAAACACTCAAACGCATTCCTAAAGACACTTCATTTTCATCCGATACATTCATAAACATCCCGTCCACACGATCCTAGCGCACGATTCATCCTTTCGCACGCACTCTAGATAACACGCTCATCCTGCGATACCACAATATATTAACTTTAATCTTATAATTAATCTATCTAATCCTACCTTATCTAATCATATAATAATCTTAAATCCTAATTTCGTATTTTATTTTTACATTATAATATTTACATATCTTCATGGCTAAAAAAAGGATATTTATTAAACATTACGTTCTATATTTTTGCTTTGTGTGGTATTTTATAAAGCAATCTCCAAGATGCATTCTTGGCTTATCGGGGATTTGTTTTAAAAACAAACTTTTCTAACATGACTTTTTGCCGCTTTTTGATGTATCAGATATCACAGTAGATGGTTGATCGAGTTTAGACCTCGGATTAAAGAAAAGAGAGTTGTTCTAGGATTGTGGATCTTATAATAGTTAAAGAGAGGTGTAAAAAGTTTCTAACCAATGTAGGTTCTACAATCAGTTTTTTCAACGCAAGTTTGATTTTTATCGCAACTCGAGTTTCTTCGCGATACGTTGAACGTAAACAGAGAAATTTGTTTAGAAATGTACTAGTTCAAAATTGTCAGAACCACCCGTAACTTGAATTTCCGGAAATTCTTTCCCAGCGGTCATTTAGAAGTATTTGAACTCGCGGTTCTCAACCTGTAACACGCGTACCACTAATGGCACCATGAATATTTTAAGGTGATACATGAAGTGAACCAAATTATATTAAATTTGAAAATTATGTGCAATGGAATAAGTTACAATGAACGAATAAGATACTGTCTACAGATTGCTATCCGACTCGATTACATATTAATCGGCTGTATGTAAGGGGGAAGGATTGGGAACCATTGCATTACCCTATCCATCGCTCATAAATAATGGCAGAAGTGCGACATCGAATGGAAAATCAACGGATGGGAGATATATTCGATGTTTATCGTATATTTATCGTAACAACGAAGGTTTGTACTACATTTGTTCTATGAACTAATTTCTTATCGAAATCGGTAATAATTTTATTAACTACTTATAAACTAATGCACTTCTCTCCTGTTTACATTCAATATGTTAAAACTCGAGACTGCGTCGAATTTTTAAATAATAAGAGACGATTTTAAATCCAATTAGATGTAACGTCGATTAAACACCGTTTACTCTACCCAGTGAATTACCTTTTCAGGTTATAAAGCTTTTCAGGTTTTGACTCTTACATCTTAAATATTCTGTATTTCTGCTGTGGATGTCGCGTATATTACCAATATATACAAAATAACAAAAAACAAATAAAAAAAGAACAACGTTTCTTCATTTAAGGCTTTGTTCTCAAAAAAAGTTAAACTGAAAATATGTCAGGTACTTGTGTATAAATTAGTTGTAAATTTCGATTGATCGGAATTAATATTACAATATATAATATTATATATAATATTTATAATCGCAGGCGATTATTATCTGCTTTCTGTCATTGTCACTATCATTTTTACTATTAATTCGATTTGTATCATTAAAGATACACGAAAAGTGACATGCATAAATCGAGAATGCATGAACATGATCCTTGTTAGAAAAAATAATAATATAAAATAATAATATAATAATAATATAATGAAAATAAAATGGTAACAATAATAGAAAACGAATCGTGACACCTTTCAAGTTTAATGACACAAACCTGAGCAGAAACAAAAGCCCGATAAGTCAAAATTTTGAATTAGTACGCCAACACCTGATAAATTTTCACGCATATATTTTTCAAAATCGCAACTTCAAATGGAAAAATGTTACTCTTTTTCTTCAACTTATTTTCCCACGTACAATCAATATCCGGCCGGACATACCACGATTCTAGGAACATTCTAGATCAAATTTGATTTTACGAGGAAAACTGTTATCGAGGATATTGCACAAAAATTACTGTTTTCTATCTATTTTCGATAAGTAATTTTTACTGCCAGATCCGTATTAAACGCACGAAAATACGTAAACAAATTTTCTATTCTCGAACAATAAAACTTTATTCGTCTATTTCTTTGCATGTTCTTCGTATCTTATTATCACATCCATCTTTTCATATAAGCAAATCGAATCTGTGAATAATTTTCTTGTATGTTATTAATAAAAGGATGCTTTACATAGTTCTTTATGTAAAACTCGCATTCATACTGCATTTATTTATCGTTAGCTATATATTTTCGTGTTTCGTGTCTAAAATATGTACTTTCTGTTATTTTCTGTTAATTACTGTACATTATACAATAATTTTTCGCATTTCAAACATTCGTTTCGAAACGTTTCGCAAGATAAAAATTTTGCAGTGATATTTAACTGTAAATTTCATTTAGATTTTCATCTCAACGACGCGAGGAATTTTTTTAAAGGAATCCATTTACTACGATAAATGTATATGTCACTAGTAAATATCACTAGTAAAAATTCCATTTTGGCAATGAAATTGTCGCAAATTATCGATACCGTTATTTCACCGTTATAGATTCTTACTTTTCGCTTTTCCTAATTTTTAAATTCGTACCTTCTCGCTTGTTCATCGACAAAATACTTTCTACAATAAAATGCAAATAAAATAAAATACTATAAAGTAAACTTTTTATATTTAAAGTTTCACTATATTCCGTACTTTCTTAAATTACAAAACGGAAAGACAACAATTTTGGACTCGATCGAATATTATTTCGGAACGAATTTTCGTTAAAGATAGACTTTGTTAAGCTCTATACTCGAGCAATGTTTCGTTATAATAAAAATTTTTGAGTTATTTCAGTTTTCTTATTAGAATTCGATTAAAAATTGGAGGGAAAAAATCAGAAGAATCAAATATGGGCGGGAACATGTGTCATATCAACTTGAGTTGATATTTTGCATTATCACTTTTGTCTAACTCGATCATAAAATTGATCTACACAATCAAATTTTCTACAATCTTTAAATTCGCTTACAAACGCTTGAGTTTGTTGCTAGTCGTATCTCATTCGTCCTAAATATATATATAGTCGTCTATTTTATAATATTCCAGTGGCAATATACATTATAGTATACGCTTAGCTTGGCATATATAACGCATCATAATCGTCTAATATAATAGATCGATAAAAAGGGTTAGAAATTTCAAATATTCAAAAATGTACTTTCTTTTTTACAATATTACTTAACGATACAGTCTTTATACAACAGCTTAGCTTTCCGTGAAGCTAATCATAAATCGCAATTCTTGTTTGTTCGAAGAAAAATCAGAAATACTTGGACTTTATCTTTGTAGGAAGATTTATCTAGAAAATATCCAATACAGGATCCTCGGAAAATAGAAATATGACAGAACAAATAGTCGTGGATATTGTTAAAAATTGATCGTTATAGATTGCGCATATATAAAAACGACTGTAATGTACTTTACATCTATGCCGCACGTGTCGACTCTGTCAGTATATCATTAAGTTATACAGTTTTATTATTAAAAAATAAATTTACAAAATTTTCTGATACTTCAAGCTATAATATGCTCGGGTATGGTAGCTGTAATATCTAGGTTCATGTCTCATGTTAATTATGTATTTCATATCGGCAGATCGTTTGTAACTCTTGTCGGTATTCTTCTGGTCGTAAGTCCTCATTGCTCGTTCGGCCCATTCTTGCGCTCTGGGAGGTTCTCGGAATAATCCTTTCTGCCTTTGGTTCAGATAATCGATCACATCGTCGTAATAATTTTTTCTGAAGAAAGAAAATTTGTTGCATTAGAAAAATAGCCATACATTATACACACCTATGACAATTCATAAATCGTAAATATCTACCCGAAATCGATAATTAGAATTAATTAATAATTAACGAAATCCTTTTTCAGCAATTGTTTTGAGCAATTATTGAGCAATTATAGATTATTCTACGTAAATAATAAGTTTATATATTTATTTATTATAAATAAATTTATAAATATTTTGTGATATTTATAATAAATTTATTATATCATGAATTAGAAAGTATAGCAATGCTTTCTTAATGGAATAAATATCTATTACTTTACACACGTTTATAAATGGCACGTGCACAAGACGAGGTGAAGACAAATATTTCTTGGCTAGATACTCCCATGCTTAAATTCTGATGACTGATTAATACAAATAAAGCCTAAAGTAATAGGAGTCATTGACCACTGTGTTTCATTGACGATGTCGATAGCTGTAGATACCGAAATTTCAATCTTATCTATCGATTAGTAATAAAATCAAATCATTTTCTAATTTTCTGCAGGTAAATCGTGTAACATCGTGTAACATCAGTTTTCATTTTAAAACGAAATTTTAAAGTCCCGATTGACTTCGCTTTATCTCGAATCATTGTCAATATTATTTGGAATGTACGTATGTATTTGTGCAAGCTTTTTCATAATTCGTTACTTCGTTAAAATGCAATACTTTGATCTTTCAACATTTTAATTTACATAACGTATATGTTGAGGTCGTTATACTTTCACATGCATCCGAATTATAACGTTATTAAACATTCAAACTATATCATTCAAAAATCTTCAGCGATAAAAGAACTATAATATATAAATTACTATGACGTGATAAATATCGTTGTTTTAAATGTAACTGTGTAATTTGTCATTGATATAATTTTAAAAATGATATTGAAATGATACTAAAAAAATTACAAATTGTAGTTTTAAAAATAATTAAAAAATGACTGATAATTTGAAAAAGATCATTATGTAAGTCTTGGTATAACCCATTTTTCTCCATAAAGAACGTCACGAATATTAAGCACTATATCGATTAATCGTATTATATTAAAGTCCTTACCTATATTCATAAAGATAAGCGTAATTAAGGAAAAGAGGTCGAACCCAATGGTGATTGTAGTGCGGTGGTTCAATTTTTTCTAATTTGATCTTTGGTTTTTCTGCAGGCGCTGCTTCGCCACCAGCAGCTCCTTGTTCAGCAGCCTCAGTGGTTTCTTCTGCTGGGGTTTCTTCGATATCCCATGGTGCTGGTTCTTCGTCTGCCCACATATTTTTTCACTTCTTCCACGAGTAAGCTGGGCCTAAAACGTATCTCTTTCTTTTAAATTTTTCTTTCTCTCTCTCTCTCTCTCTCTCTGTGTAACGAAATCGTGTAATTACTAAGAAAAACACGTAACAACCAAACAAATAAACGAAATAAAAATTTCAAGGAATAATTTTATCGTTTAAAAAAAGGAAAAATCTGTCGAGAATATTTTCTATCTGTTTCATGAAAATGTGACGTTTTCGTTTATGCGATCATTAATTTCTCAAAAACCTTTTATAGCTTTCGTCGGTTCCAAATATTCGCTTGCATATTTTGTACATTTATCGATGTTTGTTAGTCTTCTCTTTAAGTAGATGTTACAACCGGTACTCTCAATCGATATATTTAGCTAATGAGATATATTTAACGAATGAAAGCAGGTCACGTTAAAGTACAACAAACTGTTTGATTGTGACATCGATTCCAATTTATTATAACAGAATGCTTTCTTTATCGATAATCTAATTAAATCGATTACGTCAGTGATGTTAGTATAATTCTCACGCTATATTTCTTTCAACCTTATACGGTCGATCGTTAATTACAATTGATATTACTCTTTCGAAACTATTTACATATAACGTACAAACTCTACGAGTAAAATCTACGGCCGGACTAGAATACCAGATATTTCATATTGAAAATTCATATTAAAAAGATTTTAATATCGAAAATTCTCGTTTTAACAATCTTTATACGACAAATAACTTCGACGACCTTAACTCTGGTTAGCTCGAATTTTCTATCATACTCGTCACGACGATATCACTTTTGATAGAATACCACGAATCTTTTCTCTTATTTCTCTAACTTAAACTCGACTAACCAACCGTAAGACGAAATGTTATTCCTTCACTTTTAAACGATCTCTCACAATAATATATTCACTGCTTCACTAGTAATTTTAGCTTGTGTCAGTTTCAAGAGATACAACGTTATAATAACATCAGAACGTCTAAAATGTCACTAGCAATGGAATAAAAACGGTGGACAATGCTCGAGAGAGTAGTACCTGCGATACGATAGCCACTAAGTACTTGTTGAGACTGAAAAAAAATCTCCCGCGGACTTTGCCTTGTTTCGCTTTTATTTTAGCTTATAAGATTTTCCTTGCCTTCCCACCGGTCTTCCCCTTAAATGCTCCCCTCCGCGTGAACAGCGGCAAAGAAACAAGTCAGAGAGAGGACAGAGGGAAGAGAGGTGGATTTTTGGCACCAAAGCCACTGTAATCATTATTACCACGCAAGACAACGATCAATTTAATAACCATTAGCCAATTTCGCGGCTCTGTCCTCGTACGAATTGATTTGTTTAAAACTTCCACTAACGATTCTGTAAATGTCCCGTCGATTATGAAAGTGACCCAAGTCGTTGTGTCTTTTATTTCGAAACGAACCGTTCACAGGCCAACGTGATTAACTCCGCTTTCCAATTTTCTTTCAAGTTCCAGTGTCAAAGAACTTTATCGGTATTTAATTTTTTACATTTGAAATAAATTTCTACTTTTCATTTTCAGTGGAGTTAATCGATTTGACAAATGAGTGGCTCGGACGTCAAAATATTCGCGTTTGAAAAGTATTAAATGGTAAGTGTCGATATAATTACAAAGTCGATCTGCTATTTTTTGCTGCTTCGTGACAGTAGTTTCGAATTATTCTAAAGTAAATGGATGTAAAACTATTTCAAAGAAGATCTATAAATCGTTATTTGCGATAAATAAGCGAGGAAAATTTGTTCATTTGCATTAAAGCATTACTTTTAGAACGATCGATTCACGGGAAAACCGTAAAATTGTAAAAAAGGTTAAAAATAAATTTCGTGACGTCGAATATTTATTTATAATAATTTTTTCAAGCGTATACTTCGTTATTTTGACTTAGAGATTTTATTCTTTTACTATAAGTAGAAATTTTGATAGCTTTTCCTATCATTTTGCACTAAAAAATCTTACACCCTTCCTATCGAAATGAATGACCTATTTGCATAAATTATCTGTATCTAACTGATTGCCCTATTTTAAAAAATAATGTTTTATACCTACTCTATCGTTAATTTCAAGGGGTAAGCATAATAGTATATAGTATATAGTATTAAAATTCGATTTTATAGGAGTAGAAAGTAACGTGTTAAAAGCCACTCTTCCAGCTTCTATCTCCTTAATTCGGTGCAAATGTATAAATTGTACAATCTGAAAGAAAAGTCTTATGCACTCTAATAAACCTTAGTAAACCCTAAAATTTGTATCTCTATTTACCACTTTTTATCTAGCAAGAAGAATTTAACATATCATATGTTACATATCAATCTGCTTGATTGTAAGAATTTAAACGATCGTATTAAAGATACTATTACAAATTCAAATTTAAGTTATCGATTCACACAGTAAATTTAAAAGTTGTTCTTTTAAGTAAAATTTTATATACGAGTAATAGCTATCTTGCACCTACAACGTTAGGTAATATTAAAGGAGTTAAAGAGTTAAGCGAATTAAACATATAACTTATTTTGTTGTAAGAAACACGATACAAAAGACAATACTTATACAAGTTCAATATGTATTTAAAAACACGTATATATAGATATATATTTACGTGCGCTATTTACTGCAAGCCATAAACACACGAATTTCTCTCTCTTTTTGTTCTTGTTCAACGTGTACGCGTTTAACGTTTATTTTATGTCTATATACCCATATACGTTATACATATATGTTCTCGCAGATACAAGTTATCGTTTCCGATGTAATTATTTTGTATAAATATCCGCTTTGTAATTATGACAGTTGTAATAAGTTTATTTATTTATAGATTTGCCTTATGAAAAGCTTAAATACGTATTGATCAATGTAACATTATGTCGAAATAGAAGCATTGACACCGTACCCTGGTTTAGTTACTATAAATTATGAGCTTTGTGAAACATATATTACTGGTAAATAAGTTAATAAATAAATATATATATAAAAATATAAATGTAAAATATATAATGCATCTCTCATTCGCCTAAATTACAAATGATAAGAACAAATAAAAAAGGTTGAACAACGTTGAAAAGTTTATTAATATAAAAGTCGAAAAATATTAATAAAACGTGTAACTATTATTTGTAAAAATGTTGAAGCATTGTAAAAATATTGGGCAAAATTAAGAACACGATGTCCAAGTTTCGATCACTAATTTCGTGACATCAGTTTCGATGTTATATGTATGTACTTGTATATTAAAGTAAAATAAAATGTGCAATAGTTTACGAAAGTGTTCGAAAGCTGTATATCAAACAAATTCTCTAATCCAAAAATTCTGATTTTAATGAAAATTTGCGTGTATGTAAAGCATAACGAGTTACACATAGAGTAACTTTTTGTCGACAAAAATGACATTGAGGGCGTGAGATTAACGATTAAAGTATCAATAATATTTTTGTTCCTTAAACAATTCGGGATTTCATAAAGAGAAATTTTTACTATAAGATAACAAAGCACCAAAAGTTAAACAATTTTTATTCGAGAAGCTTTGCTCTACTTCGCATCATTATACAGTTGCATCCAAAGAAAAGTAGAGATCGGGCTGTAACTTTGCCTAATGATTTCAGCCACGTGAAGTAATATTTGCAAATAAAAGAAATTGACCCATGTGCAACTTGTCATGCTATTCGTACACACATACTTTCGTCGAAATCAGAATACTCTTTTAAAATATATATAGCGCTCGAATATTTTCATGAGCCACTCTATATGCCGATGATTGTGAAAATGGTCCAAGTAATACTCTAGAGTCTCTGTTATATAAACTATCCGAAAAATAAAAGTCATCGGAGAATTTTCACGTGGTACAACGGAATGTGATTTATACACAATTCTATTTAATACGTACATGTACATTAATAGAAATTAATAGTTACTAGTAAAATAAATAAAAGAAAATAAATACAGTTATTCGTTATATTTATATTCGTATAAATTTATATATAAATACATTTGCTTGTAACCTAAATTTAAGAGATAAAATTTTCTCCAAAAGTTTCCAGCATGCTAACTCGAAAATAGCTAAAGAAAAGAAAATATAGTGAAATATCTATTATCCGAATTAATTTGACCGAAGCAAATTTTAAATTATGTCATGATCATAAAAAATAAATGACACGTTTTCAGACACTGTCAAGTTATGGGTTATTTATACTATGAAAGTGGTCTAAATCATATATGCTTTCTTTTGAAATATTTAAAATTTCATGAATTAAATATGTTATAAATTTAAAAAATTAGTTATAACAAAACTAGAAGCTCAATCTAATGATTCAACTTTTTGTTATTTTCATTTTATACTTATTTTTCTTTAACTTCTATTTTAAAAAATCAAGGGATCTTTGAAAGCATATGAAAACGAATTATCAAAAAATTTTTAGTTACCACTATTTTTATCTCTAATATCTTTTTCCCGTTTTATAACTGCGAATTGATGAAAAATCGTTCATGGAACATATATGTACATATATAACCGTGTCCTTGAATGTATCTTATAAATTTATTTATAGGCATGCATATATATGTATACGAAAGGGCGCTTAACTTTTTTTTTTTGGCTAGGATTACCAACGACACTAGCGCCGGCGCTGAAATAAAAATACTCCAAACGTTTTACTCTTGCATTATTCGTACATCACTTTTTAGTATTAAAATAGCGAATTATAAATTCGTGTCCCGCCAGAGTTCTTTCCTCCGTATTTAAAATTATTTTGAATAAAATATTTTTGATCTTATGTACCTAACAAGAGATAAACGGTAGAGAAATAAATGAAAAGTAAGTACCAAAAAAAGTAACGTAACGAAATAATTTTTCACACTAACCCAAGATTACTCTACTTTATTTCTTATTTTAATTAGCTATGCACATAGAAATCACAAGGTATAACACAGACCTAATATTATACGGATTTTCGTCACAGACAAAAGTATAGGATAATATATGGAATGGAAAGGAATAGAATAGACTTAGCCGTCTATTTATATGAGCCATTCAGAGGTCAAAGCGAAATCTTTAATATATGGAATGGAAAGGAATAGAATAGACTTAGCCGTCTATTTATATGAGCCATTCAGAGGTTAAAGCGAAGTGCTGTCGCTTAATTTGGATAAATTAGATGTTGAAGAACTTCTCGTGTCGATACTCCGAGATGATAAAAGAAATTTGCTAAAATGTACAATAATCAGATGAAAATAGAAAGTACCGAACGTCAATAGACAGTAACAGGTGTTCACTCCATTAAAAACAGGAGATAGTAGATTTTAAAATACAGATGATTATACTTGAAGAAAAAATATTCTAATATTAACACAAATTTATATTCATAGAAAATTGTCTTTTAATAATATTTAACGTATTACAAGAAACTTATACAACGTGATTAAAGAATTAAACTCACCTTCTATGGAAAAAACTTTTCAATTGAAATGAGATAATCGTCGACGTATCAAGATGACTTAAATAAATGGTGAAATTATTCTATTAATTATTAATTAATAATTAATCATTAATTGTTATGCATTACTGGCCAGGAAATTTATAATATACTTTTCTGAATAAAATTAAAAAGTACAATTACTATTAATTATATGTCTGTGGAAAAAAGGAGAAATTTTGAGAAATAATTTATATATAAAAAAAAATTTGTTTGTAATTAATCAATATTATCTTTTTTCTTTTGACAAAGAGAAAAAGAAATTTTCATTAATTTCTTCTCCTACCACTTGTTTAAGAGAAATTCGCTTTCATTCTCATGCATCGTAATTTCCAGCTTTCCATTTTTGCAATTACAACCTAATAAGATTATAATAATCCTCTGCAATTATCAAAAAATTATAAATATTTCAAACTCCTTTGATTCCAAATATCGGTAAACATGTCACTATAGAATTAGAAAAAAACAGAAAAGTATTGTTTAATGATCGAATGATTACAAAAGGATGATAACTATTAAATTCTTCCTCAAATAATTAAAATTTTATAATTTGTTTTAACAGTCAATTAAATTTTATATTAAATCTAAAATTTGCACAAATCCAATTGCTTATATTGTTGGATGACGATTCGTTAGTCACTAGAAGGGCCTGGCTGATAAACGCAGACCAATTTCAGAGTCCAAAAACAATTGACTCATTCCTACTTTCACTAAGGGCCAATGGTCATCTTCACCCTACCAAAAACTAACATTATATAAGCACCCACAAAATTTGCGAAAAGTCAGTTTCAGTTCCAGTTTTAGTTTTTTCCTCTCCGCCGACTTGTATTTTTCCAACGTAGCCTTGTTGCTAGAATCCGTATTGTATATTGAAATCTGGGTTCCAACAATATTTGTTCGTCATGTTTCGTTTTATTCTTGTAAATTACTATCACATCGATTCTCAAATTTTGTATTTTCGATGGTGAGTTGAATACAAAATGAAGTTTAAGAAATTTGGATGTTGTTGAATGAATTCAAGAATTCAATAATTACTTCAAAAATTACATAAAACCATTATCAATAAAATATTTACATATCAAACAAAACAACCCGTTTATTTTAACCCTTTGCACTCGACGATTTTTTGATTAAAGAAGAATAGGAGTTCAAAAATTTTCTACTATAAAGCTGACGACATTTTTTTGAGCAGAAAATAAGAAACAGTATAATAATTAATACAGGTAACCCTCCTATAACACGGTAGATAGGTTCCTAGAAAATAGCGTGTTGTGTGAAACCGTGTTGTATGAGACCCAGAGCCAGTACAAAAAGGGGGGTTACGTTCCTAAACTAAAACAAATTTTAAACAAATTTTACTAAAAACAAATTTTTTTTTAATTCTACATAAATAACTTAATTTTTATTAAAAATATAAACGTATGTGCAACACAAAACAAAAATATTATTTTAATTTAATGCAACTTTTATTTAATAAATTTCTTCGTCGTCACTGCTCATGCAGAAGTACAGTGTTGTACAAAGGTTTTTGCAATTTTCTTATCGTATTAGAGCGAAACCGTGTTATAGAATGTCGTGTTGTAGGAGAGTTCCCGCAATTTATGAATCGTGTTATAGTGAAACCGTGTTATAGGATGCCGCGTTGTAGGAGAGCTACCTGTACATGGAATTACTTGATTTCGATATTTCGCATATCATTACATTATCTTAAATTTGATATATTAATTAATATCGATCTTCGAAATTCTTTCAAGTGACGACTGAAGGGCGCCTCTCGAGTGCAAAGGGTTAATACTATATTTATGTTACGCTAGTTTAAAAGAAGAACATTAATGGAAATTTTTCTTCAGAAATATTGATTAAACACACAGGAAATCTTTTACAAAGCAATTTAGTACTATGAAAATTCTTGTCGCTATTCATATTCCACACCAGAGAAAAGGACGAAGCTTTTTCCAAATGATAAAAATGATAAAAATCATTTTCATGTAGAATTCTGCGGTAAAGTTCACTACTAACGTTTCTCTCAAAATTAGTAACTTTCAGAAGTACGCGGATCTCTTTTAATTTCTCGGACAATTATATTGCTTTCCCGATCAGGTAATTTTTCTGTCGACCGAAATGCATTTAATTATTAACAATCCCAGTGATTTTCAATTTCTCTTTATTATGTCACAAATAGCTGACTTACTTCCCTCTTAATTTTGCAATTTCACTACACGATTTGTCTTCATTATTTCATTTAATTACTAATTCTCTATCAAACATACTCGTTTCTGACATTTTGACACACATTTTTAATGCAGACTTCGCAATTTTGTTAATATTGTCTGATTCGACCAAGCCAAGCATGCCTTTTTGAATTTGTCGATGTTTTACATCTTTTCATATTCAAGAAGTGGTTTTTCACAAAAGTTTGAATCCTTCGAATACTTTTGACTTGTGATTAGATTTGTGGTGTTCGTAAAGTCGATATTTTCAGAACGTGTTAACATTATTAACGTTACAAAAGATCTGTCAAACTTGAAATACATTATCATTATACCTCTATATTGCTAATAATATACAATTATTTTAATATAACTGCCTTTTTTCAATTCTCAAACATTTCATCCGACAGCGATCGGATACTTTCGTGGCTCTCTGTACGTATTTGTCATCGTAAAACAACAGATGGCTCTGATAGCGATACCGATCCACGATACCGTAGTGTCATTATTTACTGTAACCACCAAGGTTAGTAAATGAAAGACTAGCGAAACGACACAGAACACGAAAAAATAAATTTGTGACACGATGAATTTTATTTGTCGAATTTAAGCTAACACCTTTGCCAGCTTTGGGTTTGTAAACATTCTCGTCACTCTGTCACCGCTACATCTGTCATGTAAATTCACGATGACTCGCATTAGCATCGAAGCGAACACGAAATACAATTGTTGGCAAATAACCTATCAACCTCTGCAAACCTGTTAATTTATTCGCATCCTTTCGCAACTGAAACGGTAGATGGGAGTTTTCCATCCTGATGTCCAGTCACTTATAGCGTGTAGGATACAAGTAACTTTATACCTTGAAATTTTTAATTGCGAAGCTCAAACGGAAGGTTCTGTTACCCTTTCGAATTGAGGATTAAATTTTTCCTTGAAGTAGTTTGTTGATAAATTTTCAGCAAGTAGTTTTACTTGAATTTATTAAATTTCATGAGAGCCAAGCTGAAGGCAGTTGGATTTTATTTGTTTCGTTCTACGTAAATAATGCTTGTGCAATCTTGTAACGATTGTATTGAATATTATTTGTAAATTTTATATTTTACATTTTGTACCTATAATTCTTGTATTCCGAATTAATGACTGTTCTAACGCAGAACTCGAGTTATCATGTTTGTGTTCGTTAAAAAATGTTTACATACATTTCCATATTATGCATACAGGATGAGCCGGAAATCGCTGTACAACCAAACAGTGATTCCATGTAAAAAAAAAAAAAGAAAAATTTAGCATAACATTTTCTCTATCCGGAGCTCAGTTTTTGAATAAATCGACTTTAAATCTTGTTCGACTTGTAAACGATTCATTGTAAATAGAATACAAAGAATTACGGGAAAAGTATTAGTTTTACTCTGCATAATTTTCTGAAGTACCCCTTTTCCATAGCCATTCTCTGATCCTCTACTGGATAGGAAGGCAACGATATTCAGAGTAACTCTCTCAGCATGCGACAGTGGTGCCATCAAGAAGCAGCGAATTCGAACCATTAACGCGTTCTCCGTCGTAAATTCCACCAATGGTACACGTTAAACTTTACATTCGGTGCCATAAAGACGAATCTATACGAAACGTGTTAATCAATGGACAGAGAGAGTTCAAAGTGAAAACTTCATTTATGTAAGTTAGATACTGTAATCTCATTTTACGATAGATATTTCACTATGACTTCATGATGGATCTGTGATATTTCATGTACTATAACACAAATAATTATTTCTTGAAAAGTTTAAGTAAAAATTTGTTTAAATCTTTAAAAATCATATAAAATGATGATAGGATGTCAGTGCTATTTATAGTGAAAGGGATACCATACATGATAACGGGACATTCGAGTTAGAAGCAAGGGAGGATGTTTTCAGTAAATTCCAAGTAATTATAGGTATAATTATAACCATCGATAGAAGAGGGTTATTATCTGCATTGATTTCTATGCTTTGTGACTCTGTATATAGGGTGAAATGAAATTAAACGTGGCAAATGGTTATGTAACAAAAGACAAAATATTTTTTGAATAATAGTTTTATGTAATTTTTTAAGTAATTATTGAATTCTTGAATTCATTCAACAACATCCAAATTTCTTAAACTTCATTTTGTATTCAACTCACCATCGAAAATACAAAATTTGAGAATCGATGTGATAGTAATTTACAAGAATAAAACGAAACATGACGAACAAATATTGTTGGAACCCAGATTTCAATATACAATACGGATTCTAGCAACAAGGCTACGTTGGAAAAATACAAGTCGGCGGAGAGGAAAAAACTAAAACTGGAACTGAAACTGACTTTTCGCAAATTTTGTGGGTGCTTATATAATGTTAGTTTTTGGTAGGGTGAAGATGACCATTGGCCCTTAGTGAAAGTAGGAATGAGTCAATTGTTTTTGGACTCTGAAATTGGTCTGCGTTTATCAGCCAGGCTCTTCTAGTGACTAAGGGCTAACGAATCGTTAGTCATCCAACAATATAAGCAATTGGATTTGTGCAAATTTTAGATTTAATATAAAATTTAATTGACTGTTAAAACAAATTATAAAATTTTAATTATTTGAGGAAGAATTTAATAGTTATCATCCTTTTGTAATCATTCGATCATTAAACAATACTTTTCTGTTTTCTTCTAATTCTATAGTGACATGTTTACCGATATTTGGAATCAAAGGAGTTTGAAATATTTATAATTTTTTGATAATTGCAGAGGATTATTATAATCTTATTAGGTTGTAATTTCAAAAATGGAAAGCTGGAAATTACGATGCATGAGAATGAAAGCGAATTTCTCTTAAACAAGTGGTAGGAGAAGAAATTAATGAAAATTTCTTTTTCTCTTTGTCAAAAGAAAAAAGATAATATTGATTAATTACAAACAAATTTTTTTTTATATATAAATTATTTCTCAAAATTTCTCCTTTTTTCCACAGACATATAATTAATAGTAATTGTACTTTTTAATTTTATTCAGAAAAGTATATTATAAATTTCCTGGCCAGTAATGCATAACAATTAATGATTAATTATTAATTAATAATTAATAGAATAATTTCACCATTTATTTAAGTCATCTTGATACGTCGACGATTATCTCATTTCAATTGAAAAGTTTTTTCCATAGAAGGTGAGTTTAATTCTTTAATCACGTTGTATAAGTTTCTTGTAATACGTTAAATATTATTAAAAGACAATTTTCTATGAATATTAATTTGTGTTAACTGTAGGCAACTTTCACTGATGCCACTCGTCTTCCGGCGGGAGAAAGCTGTTTGTTGAATTTCTAGGAAGACATCGCCTAGGATAAGACTGCAGGGGATGCGTTTTCGGTGGCATTCGCTTACTAAGTCAAGAATAAAATACTTAGTAACCGTGTGAAACGTTGTCTATTTTAAACTCCTACATAACATTAGAATAGTTTTCCTTCAAGTATAATCATTTGTATCTTAAAATCTGCTATCTCCTGTTTTTAATGGGGTGAATGAATTATCGTAACTGAAAAAATTCGATGTTTTTTGATGCCTATAATCACACTCGTAAAAACTTACTTTCAAAAGTCACCGATTTAATGGAAAAATACAAAATACTGTACTAAATAACAAATTATAATCGATATCTTCTTTCTAGAAATGCTTAAGCCAACTTTAGCAATATTTACAAATTGCTCTCAATAGCAATATCTTAAAGTAATAATTTTCAAAAACCGTAAAGGTAATTATTTTCCAACATTTATAATTCTAAGATAATTTTCACATTAACAATCCGTCAAAATTTTTATTGTATCTATGTTGAAATATATTCCATTGACAAAAAAAATATTTATCTTTGACAAAAAAGATTTTATCTTGTCTAAAATATATTTATTACGAGCTAAAAGGAAATTAAAAGTAACGTACGATTACAACTAATAATGATTAACGATTATACTGACTTATTACTACTTGATTCTCCGACTGACCGACAGTACGACTGCCCTTCTTTACGATTCTTGATACTATCTGCCCTTCTTCATCGTTCACTCACCTTTTATTCATTCACACATGCACACTACACACTCATACGATGCATCCTCAAAACGCATCACGTATATTCCGGGTATTCATTCGCCTTTCACACCTAACCTTAATTTAAACATCCATTTGAGTGTCTCGTTCTTCACACCGATAGTTGTTTAGTCTAGCCGTTATTCGTTCTGATAACCGTTCAAGTGTTCCCGCTTCTACATCTATGCAAAAATATTTGATTTAATACTTTCTTAGAATAAGCAACTTCTAAATGCGCGATTGCTGCCATCTATCTTCATTTCGATTTTAACACTAGGTTTACGGACGCTATCTGTATACCTGTTTCTAAGGACACCTCTCAAAGTGACAGGTAAAGAAAACCATGTGCCTTTTTTTTTAACGATTAGTTTAATTTAAAAACAATTATATATTATATTAACAGTCTTGATATAAGTTAACTAAATCTGTTATCATCGTATAATTGGAGCAACCCTTCCGTCAAATTGACGGTGTTATAAATAAAATAGGTGGAAAACGCGCCTAGCTGTTCCTCTTCAGAATCGACAAATCATAAATTAAGACAAGGACTAGGGACGGTAATACTTGAGACCAGACCCAACAGACGGGACGCACGTGCGACTGACCCACCAAAACGCTAAACAGACGTACCTATAAATCTAAAACGAAATAATACTTAAAGAGAAACTTCCCTGTCAGTTTCCCTCTCCTAATTCAAGATCCCGCCAAAACTCCTTGTCCAATGAAAAAACTCTATTTTTCCTCCTCCTACAATCATTTTTCACCAATCACCGCAAACGAAGACTAGACAAGACGAGACGACAGTTAGAAGCCAAAAACGTAGAATCAGACGGTATTGAGGAGTCAAAGACATAAGACGGTAGTCAACAATCATACAGAAAACACAAGACGGTATTCAGAACTCATACACGAAACATCAAAACGGTTGGAGAAGTCAAAACACATCAAACGAGAAGACAGAAAATGGAACACGAGGACACAAGACGAAAACGGCAAAGACGGAGAAGATACACTATACACACAAATCATTCATACACTCATCAAAACGTGTAATAAAGTGTAAATACACCACAAACTGCGCTTCATTAGACAACCGAAGTGCTCAGTGTCTCGTAAGTGACGCGACACACTGAGAAGAGGGTAGCAATATTATCAAAGGCTACCTCAATCAGCGTGGAGATACAATATCAGCCTACGCCACGCTACATTTTGTGGTACTTCGAACCGGATCCAAGCAGTGCAATCCACATCCACGCTACAGACGGCTTCCGTAAATCTAGTGTTAAATTGTATCCTGCTTCCATATTCGTTTATTACCTATTGTTATAGTCATACAGGTAATAACCTCAACAATGGATGGAGTAGTCAATGACGTTCCAACGGTATAGGCGAAGTTCTGCGAAAATGTTCCTAGACTAAAACCGATTCCGTTTTATGGAGTACCTGCTGTTTAGAGTTTAATATTTCTAAGTCGTTCCATCATGGAAAAGAAAGCAGGTCCTAAACGCTGAATAGTTTGATGTTTAGTACTTTCTATTTCCATCTGTTTATTGTACATTTTAGCAAATTTCTTTTATTACCTCGGATCACTGAATACGATAAGTTCTTCAACGCCTAACTTAACAAAATTAGGCGACTACACTTAGAATTTTACTGACAATAGGCCTGCAAGAGTCGAGACCATGTGCACTGGTTCCGAGTAACCCCAGCTTTCGAAGCCATAACTCAAAGATGACATCGTCGCGATCACCTCTCAAGAAAGATCACTAACGTGCGAGAAACCCCCTAAACGGCTCACCCTGGAGGAGGAATTTCTTCCACCACCGTCTTGCGGTGAAGAACATTCCTTCTTCAAGAAGACCAATTCCCGGACTAAGAGAACACCAACACCCTTGATTCAACCAACTTCCAATCAAGAGAACGTTCGTGCTTAGGCAGCTTTTGATTACTTTTAAATTCGAAAGACAAAGTAAGTTTTTTAAACACACCGAGCAAACCAAATCATTTGACATGTTTTTAACACATATCAACCGAATCAGGACAGATTGTTACTATTACATTAAACTAAAATATTTGTGAATAATTATTTATTTCTGAATTCGCGAAATATCCTAACAGACAGTCAATTCGTGAATTATATCCGCAAACGAGTGGCATCTTTTTTCAACAATTGGTCTACACCAAATATTAAACATAGCCAAGTTGTCAAATAATCTATACTAAATATCGGAAAAATTGGTCGTTTGACTGGATTCGTAAGTTGTCGAGATTTATCGTTCATTTATAATGCTGCAGGTCGCTAAGATTAAGATTTATAGAATATATACATTAAGATATATTAATGTTGTTATATTAATTGTATTTATACTCTCTTATTACATTTTCTGAACTATTTGGATACAGAATACATATTTATAATAATATATAAACACCTTTATACAAAATAATGTGTATATCTTTAGGAAGAATTTTATTTGTTTAATTAATAATGCTTCATTTGTAAAACGTATTATACAAATTTTTAGATTGCAATTTTATATTTAATGGTCTATCAACTCATTTCATTTAAAATATATTCGATAGATTTTTAATTCGATAATTGTAATAGCAAAAATAAACGACATAACACGTTATAGAAAAACTATTCTATCAAAATTTAACATAAAGTTTCATTGTAACAATAAGGCTTACAGAATCAGCTGTAAATATAATAGTATATATGTTTTACAAAATATACATATGTATGTACGTTTATACTTACTACAATATATTTCTATGTATATTTGTATCAAGCTATGCTTTATTTGTTAAATACTAAATTGTATAACTCAGATGTAACATTCGATTTCAGAAATATAAAATATCTTTGTGTTTGTATTACAGCTTTTAATTGTGTACTTTTTAAATATTTGGAATTCAGATGGTGTTTGCGAACTGCTATAACTCGTTACTATAGAGATGAAAGCCGTATACAAATCTGGATATTAGATATACGTACATAAAATGTATTACTTTATAAGAAAAGGTACTTCTTTTTGTTTTTTACTTTATTGGATAAATTTTATCCAAATTGTAGTAAATGAAGAAGTTTTTGAATTTTCTCATCCATCAAAATGTAAAAACAACGAATATTTCGAATCTGTATCACTTTCCTGCATACAATGCGATGCTAACAAAAACCTGAAACCATCTCTCGATCGTGAGTCTGAAACTTTTTCTAAAATATTAAATGAATACTTAAACAATTTCATTCGCAGGACTGCGATGTTCGTGTGATGAATTTAGTAAAAAAGTCGGTTTCAAGGATGGATATCCTATATGCGTATTTTGTGGTACTAATGCCACAGTAACCTCAGATGGAAATGACTGTGTGGCATGTAACAATACAATATGTACATGTCCGTCTAATGAAATTCAAGGTAATAATTAAAGTATTAAGAAAAGAAGCATATGTTGTTATTTAAATTAATTAATCAATTATTTCAATTATTATAAGATGTTTTAATTTCTTTATAGTAGACAGAAACTTAAATGGGACATTATTGGATACTATTCATTGTATTTCTTGTCCCAACAATACTTATCCATTTTTGCATAAATGTTTACCTTGCAAAAATTTTGTATATAATTATTATGAAAGTAATGATTACCTTACAAAGTATCATTATACACAGGTACAGAGTTACTGCTTACGCGAAGATACCTTTTCTAATAAACAAAATTCAAAAATTGCATTTCAAATAAAGTTTAATAGTCGAAACATAGATAGTTATTATTTTAGAAGTGAACTTCAGATCGCTATATACTTTTGTAAGGTAAGAGAAGAAACAAAGATATGTGAATAATCATAAATTAATGAATCATATATATTTTTTAGAGAAAAGATAAATTAGCGTGTGAGCATTTATCAAATATGTGTGTTTTAAGTCTTTATGCTAATGATGCTGCATGCAAGTTCTTTATGCAAAAACAAAAATCACCTTTATGGTTATTTTATGATAAAAATGAAACTACAAATGTATTAAATAGTAAACAAATTACACAAAATTACAGCTTAATGAAAGAAAACGATGTATGTAATGTATTTAAGTATGTACATATCTGTGCATACACATGTATGGATACACACATACATGTATATATATAATGTAATACATTATTATACTACATTTATATAATTTTTAGGATAATATATTGAATTTTACAGTTACTACATTTTCTTTGCATGGCAATTTTAAATCAATTGGTAAACCTAATATTCCATGCAATTTGCTAGAATATGTTAGATTTGGTATTAATTTTGAGAAAAAATGTAAATTTACAGTTAAGAATCTAATACAACCGGAGGTAGAGTTTATATCTCCTTATTTAACATTTATGAAAAATAATAATAGCGTAATGTATGCATTACCTATACTTATTAAAAATATTAATCAGGTAAGAACATTAGTGATGAAATAATCATGAATATATAAGTGTTTGATATTTGTTGCCCTAAATACTATTTTATAAAATTGCTGTAAATATATAGTCTTGACGATTTTACAGAATCAGAATGAAATGTCAGATTGGCAGTTAGTAAGAAAATTTTTCTTTGTTGATAATATTAGTAGTTTTAAAACATTATCAAATTTTACAGCTAATAAGACTGAAAAATCAAATGTATTGTCTGTACTACGTTATATGAAATCTTTAAACGTAATGTGAGTTTGATTATTAAAAAAATTGTATATTAAACTTAGAATGTAATAAAACTAAAAATATTTGTAACAACTTTTCAGAATTAATGTTCAAAATACAAAGGATAAGAATAAAATATTTCCACCTTTATTAATTATTGAATATGCTGAATTAACACATGATCAGATTGACAAAATTATAGACGTTACATTAGATTATAAAATTAAATTTACTATAAAAGATAACGATATTGGTACACATTTCATGGTAAAAATACAAGACAATAAGAAAAGTATAACAATAAAAATCATTTTTATAACATCATTATTATTTCGTTATAACATTTTTACAATACATTTTTAGATTATTATTGGGGTTCTGTCAGTATTGGCCTTAATTTTGTCAAGCATAAAAACATGGAGTTATAGTAAACGGCATTATGATTCACCTATTAATGTGTTTGTACTCATTTGGTTCTTTATTCATATTATGAGTACCATTGGAAACATAATTATCTTATGTTTGATTATTTTATGTGTATATCTGTTTATGTTTTATAAAGGACAAACAGTACCATATATTCTCTTTCCTGAAGATATTAATGAGAAAAGGATAAAAATATTTACAGCAACAGCATTCTTCTTTAAAGTAAATATTTAAACAGTTTATAAATATACAATTAATTATAATTAGTTTAATTATATTTATTATAATAATTTCTAATTTAGCTCGTAGAATTATTTGGATTCGTTTGGCAGTACTGGAATATTGATATATTCTTTATTGATTGGGAGCAACCAAAAACATTACATAATCAGTGTAAACATGATTCTCCCAATGTGTCTTTAAGTGATTTATATATTGATAAATTTTTAAAGAATAAATTTAAACATTTTCAAATGTCATCAGAAACAATAACAGCTAAACGCAAGAAAATATCATATAAATTAAACAAATATAATAACTCTAGGTGTTGTAACGAATCTTTCCAAGTTAACAAACACGACGCAAATATTTCAAGTGTAAATTCAATATCAAAAATTTCTGACCAAATAATAGATAGAAATAGTATTCTTAATAGTACTCCTATTAGTATTTGGAGAACATATTTTATTGCAAGTCAATGGTTAAATCTTCAAACAAAAAGAAAGATAAACATATTAGTACAATTGCTTGCTGTTTTATGTATTTTTCAGGTAAATTTAAGTTTCATAAAATAGCAGAGTAGAACTAAATAATCAAGATTAAATTATACCTTTTAAAACAGATCATACAATTATATCCATGGATTTTTGGAATGCCAAAATTAATATCTACATTTTATGAAGAGAATTATAGTTTTATTTTATATTATACATTCTGTGTCTTAATATATATTTTAATTTATTGTATTCAATGGTTGGTGTCCATTGTTTTCTACGAACAGTGTATTACAAATAGAATGCAAGAATTTATAAATCTCTGTTCAATTGCAAACATCAGTATATTTATTTTACCATTTAATTATCATGGCTTCTATATTCATGGAAGGTAATGTACATTAATAAAATAATACATAAAATACAAAATTGTAAAAGGTAAAACATTTGCAATTAAACAATTTCATTGCTTTACAATAGATCAGTACATGGATTTGCAGACACAGACTTACTTACCTTAATTAATGATGTACAAATGGAAAGAAATAATTTATGTGCACACAGAGGTCTTGTTCCAGGAACAACTGAACAAACGTTTGTATTATATTTAACAAAGACCTTTAGGATTACTTTCAATGAAAGTTTGAAACTGACAAAGATCGTATGTATAACACAATTTAAATTTTTTTAAATGTATTTCAAATTGATTATATATCATTTTTATTTTTTTATAGGAAAGAAATAATTTTATAAAAACTTCCTTTTCTTCTACTACAAATTGGGAATATATTTTCAATAATCAGTTAAAATTAAAACAATTTCTATGTAAATTTGTAGATCATTGCATAAGAAATGAAGACTACATAATTAAAGAACAACATTTCTTTGAAAAATTATTTAATATTATATTTTCTCAAAATACAAAGAAATCAATTTTCTATATTGGTAATGTATTTTTAATGGGTATGAAAAGAATAAAATATTTTGAATTAAAATTCATATATATAATTTTTCAGATACTAATTATTCTTTCAATCAAGTATTATTATATGGAAATGAATGGTTAATTGCAACATTTGAAATTTCAACATTTGCTTTCATCATTGTATTGTGTAATGATTGTGCATTAGCAATTACATTTACAGTATTAGTATCAATGCTACTGACAATAATATTCAAACAAAATGGCAAAAAGAATTTAAGTAATCATGCATTATTAGATAAAATATTTCTTATGTAAATATTTCATATGTATACGATATCGTTTAAATATCACTGTGTCATAGTTCATAATTAATAAATTTATATTAATATATAATATTTATTAATAAACATAATGTATGTCATATGACATGAATTTTGATAACATAATAAAGAATTTTCTAAACAATTCTTATATAATGCATTAGAAAAATAAAAATACTTTTATAAAATTCATGTAATATTTATGTAATATGTAAAACCAAAAAACATATTCCTCATATTATAATACGAATAAATATAAAAAATATTCATATATAAAATATTGTTGATGTTCACATTTTATGCATTTAATTCAAAATTAATAATATTTATAACGAACAATTTTGAATTCTTTGCTCTGTGTACATATTTTCTACTTCAATTGCTCGTTTAATAACTTTCCCATCACATTTGTAGTAAATAATAATGTACTTACACATTTATGAGATCTAAATAATAATGCCTTAATAATAGTTTAGATTCCAGAGTGATCCAAAATTTGGCCATTTTTTAACATTCTCCTCTTGGTTACTGAAATCGATATCAGTCTTTTCTAATAACTTTTCCCTTATTCATGCAACAAATTGTCATTAGGTTCTTTACATATTTTATGACAAATTTCTGGTACCGCTAACGACAGATTCTTTTTTTTTTAATAATTCCTCCATTTCCTGGTATATTTTCTTCTTCAAATTTTTTATTTAATACTTGTGCAAGATGCTGGTTATAAAAAAAATAAATGTTAACTATTTCAAGGGTAAAACATTTTCCACATTAAACTCAAATTTCAACTATTCGCAATAATTTAATGCACACAGAAACACAGAGATTAGATTTGCATTCTTTTTTAAAACTGTCCCATAAACTTAGACTTAAAAGAATTTAAACTTACACTAAAAGAATACTTAAACTTGAAACTTAAATCAGACTTACAAATAAACTTGGAAAAAGTATAATTTAAATTTAATGCAAAATTTTATTTAATAAAAAATAAAAAGTAATATGAGACAGAAAACACTTTCGAATACGTATGTCACTAATTATTCTCGCGATTTTGATGTGTCGTGTAGTTTTTCACAATTCTCTCATCAAAAGGCATTATTGTCTTGCCCATTTTGTGATTAGATCCTTCAAAAATAAAATCTTATATGTTAAATAACATAACGTCTAGCTATTTAGCATTTCTAGACTTTCGTATGTATTTTTTTAAACTATTCTTTTTTTAACACGCAATAACTATATTATATTTAAGTCACTTGGAGTCACTAACTATCGACTGACGTCTTGGGTTCCATTCATACAAACATTTATCCTAACCAAACACAGACTAGACTCACGGCCTTAGTTAACTCTTGAAAATATAGCTGTTATTAAATACATTCAATAACACAAAAAAGAATAAAAATCACTCTCTAGAATATAAACTGTATGACAAATAAAAACATATATGTATACGTAACACCGTTGAACGAGAATTGGCAGGAAATATAAACAGCTGCACGTGAGCGGCGCGTGATCAGAACAGGGCCGAAACGTAATATCCAGATCCCTACACAGTAGGGATACGTATGCCTACTTCACTGTGTATGCTTCATCCGGGAGCCCTTCTCAGGAGTCACTACAAAACGTCCCTGAGCAGCGACGTTCAGCAGCCACTTATTTGCGGCCGCAGCGTCGATCACGTGAAGTTTCTGTTTATATTTTCTGTCAATTTTCGTTGAACGAGTGTGCACCTTACTGTCGGGACCGAATCAGAACGCTTATGTGGGGAGGTGACTTCCTGGAATTCAGTTGAAAGAAGGAGGATGGAATGTTAACCCCTTCGCCTGCAATATCATGTGAGACCCGTAGTAGGTCGATTGGGCCAAACATAAGTATCACGGGTCAGTCTCGTGGATAATTGTTGCCGTCTTTTCGTCTCCAAATCGGTTACGTGTTATTCTTAGCCACACTAGCGCATTCAAATATATTTTCTTAAATATATTAGAAAGATATTCCCAATAATGTCTTTAGAAAGAAAATTTAGCGACGATGATGACAGTGAGAGTAGTTCTAGCATTGCACAAAGTGACTTCTTAGTTATTTCTGATAGTGATAGTGAAAGTAGTGATATTTTCTCACCTGTACGAAAACGACTGGTTATTGAAGATAATATCAACGATAATGTTCACATTGATGATCAACAATCAGAGTGTTGGATTTGGAAAGAAGAAAGTAATAAACCAAAAGTTTGGAATTATACGGAGACTCCTGGCATAAAAGTGGCAACTTTAAATCAGCTAGGTGCAAACGAAACAGAATTGGGCATTTTTGATATGATATTTGATAATACGTTTTGGGAAAATATCGTAACGGAGACAAATCGATACGCGGAACAAATAATAAATAATAGAAATAAAAAACGAAAAATAGACGAAAGTTGGTTTCCCGTAGATTGTGGGGAAATAAAAATATATCTAGCATTATGTATAATAATGGCTCAAGTTAAGAAACCAACAATTCAAATGAATTGGTCTAAGAGGGCTATTATAGAAACGCCGATATTCAGAAAAACGATGCCATTGAAAAGATTTCTGCAAATAACTAGATGTTTGCGTTTTGCAAATAGCAATTCAATCGACAATACAGATAAATTACGGAAAGTAAAACCTGTGACAAATTTTTTAAATCAGAAATTTAAAGAAGCGTATACAATGCAAGAAGACATTACTATCGGCGAATCACTAATGAGATATAAAGGACGCTTATCTTATAAACAATTTAACATATCGAGAAGGGCGAGATTCGGTATTAAATTTTATAAATTATGCGAGTCAGCATCAGGTTATTGCTATGACTTCAAAATATATACAGGTAGTGACAAGAGAAATTCTAATGACAGTGCATCTGAAAACATTGTCAAAGAGGTATTACAGTCAGTGTTACATAAAGGACATACTTTATACTTAAACGATTGGTTCTCTTCACCAAAACTGTTTATAACTTTACTTAACAGTAAAACTAACGCGGTTGGGACAGTACGTTCGAACAGAGAGAATATGCCACGAGATTTTGTTAAAGGAAAATTACAAAGGGGAGAATGTATAATGAGAAGCTGCAATGGTATATTGGCATTAAAATGGATCGATGATCGAAACGTCTATATTATTTCTACGAAACACGAAACAGCAGAAATGACAGAAGAAGGCAAATATCAATTCGATTCTACTTTGAAACCAAAATGTGTTATCGACTACAACAAAGGAATGATTGGAATTGATCGGCAAGACCAAATGCTAGCGTGCTTCCCTGTGATGAGGAAATGTATGAAAGGATACCGAAAAGTTTTCTTTTACGTGTTTGATATTGCGCTGTTTAACTGCTATATTTTGTTCAACAAGTTAAATACTGGAAAACAACAGAGTTACGCCGAATATAGAATCGAAATAGCAGAATCATTACTGAAAAATATCCCATTTCCAGAGTATAAACAGAAAGGAAGATTATCGAGCGGAGATTTACCAGAAAGACTGCACGCGAAACATTGGGGTCATTTTCCCAAGCATATAGACCCAACACCATCGAAATCAAAGCCAGCAAGGGCATGTAAAGTTTGTTCAAGACATAAAAAACGTAGCGAAACAACGTGGGAGTGTAAAAGATGTAAAGTTGCATTACATGTACCGATATGCTTCGAAAGATTCCATACGATCGAAGATTATTAATTTCCTCTAAATGTTTTCAAAACATTTAATAATTTGAAATAAGCGTTCATTCGTAAATATAAATTAAATGGTACTGATCTATTGTTCATTTCAAGATAATAAATCTGTCTTGTTCACTGATGAATTGTTAGCAATTATTTATCAAACATCTTACAAAATTAAACCAGTTGTACCATAGTGTATTTACGTACCATAAGATGCGTGTAATTGGCACAACTTGGAGCGCACAGTCGAAGCGTCAAATGGGCAAAGCGTAAAATAAGAGGTTAACATCAGAAACAATGGAAAATAATGGAAAACAACCTGTGTCAAGTTTTATTCGACAGTTTATCTCAGTTTTTCCTATGTACGTAACCGTCGCTGGACCTCAGTTTCCGAGATATTTGTAAAATAAAATTGCCACTACTACAATGAATATTGCCTATAGACATTTATCCGGGGCAGCATGTGTTTAAGCATTGAGTCGCCAATTGTTTATGGTTTCTATAAACACGTCAAGGTGACTGGCAATGGACCTGTATATCAAAAACGCAATTTGAGTAGAATTTACCGTCTCACCGGTGCACAGTGGGCCAGAAGCCTCTAAAAACTGGCCAAAAATGAGTTTATTTCCATAAATTGAAAGTGTCACGATGTTCCAGGTACCTTAAAGTACCTATTATACAATTTTTATGTAATTTAATGAATTATTATTCTTTTAACAGAGTAAAGAACCTCTGAAAAAGACAGAAAACTGGTAACATCACCTTCGTTCTGAAATTGTCTCGTAAACAAAGACATTTTACGTAATTAAGTTTGCCCTTTTTGTTTCTCATAGTTGCAGGCATGTAGTATACAAAAAGCATGTACTTTTGTAGGAAGTGTGATACTAAACTACAAATTTTAATATTTATTGAGAAAATATCTGAAATTTGTATGATTTCTCTTACTTTCGATTAATCGTAACTTGCCATAACACTAAAAATAAATCAGGTATCTGGGGATTTTGTAGAATGTATACTTCAATGCTTAAATGCTCAAATTTGCTCCTTTTGCAATTTGATTAAGTATAGCTTGATCCAAAGAAAATAGAGCTTTTATGACAAGCTTGGTCATAGTGAATACTTTGCGACTCGGAGTAATGTACATTCTTATATGTATGTTTATTTTTGTTAACGATGGTACTATACTGATACTAATTTTACCGTGATATTACATTAATTTACATTTTTTAGTAATGACAGTTAAGTAAAGTACTTAAATACTGTAAAAGTGGTGCCCGCGCACCGCTTTGCTCATAAAGAATTTATTAGATAATAGTATGTGTTGTCCGCTTAGACTTTCTATTTTATTAAAATTCGAAGGAAGGAAAGAATTAATACAAAGAAGATTTTTGGAAAAATTGGATTAATCGTTGATAAGCCAAAACAAGAAGGCTCAGGAATCACGAACGACGGAAATTTGGCACGTCGTGCATTTGCCGAGCCAAATCTTCTTGCTGAAATTCTTGATCTAGATCTTCGTTTAATTCGCAGTTTAAAAACAATTTTATTTGCCTTATCCTATCACCTACCAGTTGTTCCCGTACGATTCAACGAACTTTGCAATACTACATTGACTCTACATAAAATTCTTATTCATGGCGCCGATATTATAAGTACGAGTATACTGCCCCTTGGCTTATTTCAGAAAGAAGCATCTGAAGGACGAAACAAATATTTTAGAAACTACATAGAATTTTACAATAGAAAGCACAACCAAAAAGCCAATCTTCGGGATGTTTTGTACAAAAATGGATTCAGATCCTCCTATTTTGACCATTAAACTTCAATCGCGAGTAAACAAATGGAAATTACCAATTCCTGAAGAAGCGAGAGATTTGTTTGTCATCCCCCAAGTCGAATGGAACCATAACCAGAAACCAGTTCCCAATCAGAGTTAGAAGAGGACAACGAATGCCGGTGATTTAACGTGCGACGCCTACCACTAGAGTTTACCAATTGCGCTATAAAGACGTGCCACACACGTCGAGATGCTTTTGTTCCAAAGCCGCCAGCGACGTATATACCACGTCGATAAGCATTTGTCGCAGAAACAAAAACGACGTGTCCGTCACGTCGGTTAACAGTTAGCTCGCAGACGCGGTGCGGCGTGAATGTAACGCCTTACCGCATGTTATATTGTAGAGCGCGGCACGACAACCGAAAGTTAAATCGTAGCGCAAGTGGCGCAAGCAGCGTGATCGCGCTCAACTTTGCTATGTACGTCACATAGTACCAACAAGCGCTATTGCGACGATTGGGATTTTTCGATATAAAATTAAACAAGCGCTATCGCGCCGTTTGGACTTCTTGGCATTCGATTAAGACAAGCGTTATCGCGCTGTTCAGGATTTTTCGATCGTGTTCTTCCGAAAGCCTTAAGCGCTGCTTGGGACAAACGGTTAATCCACTCGGCCTCCATGGGCGCGGGATTGAGACACTCTCAATCAGCGCGTTCCGGTGTGCACCTCACACACAGGACTACTAATCGACTCATAGTATGCAAGACACAATCGTCACGTTTGGTATTTTAGATTTTTTAAGTGAAAAAGTGTCGTCGAATGACGAATGTGATTCGCATTAAAAACATGGACGAATTAGTGAAAAGCGGGAGGATTTACTATAATTAAGCACTTTAACGGAATCTAAAATCGTACTGCAATCTGTTCCTAAGTACAATCTTGTAGGCTAGTTGCAGACGTCTTAAAAGAATAGTTAAACATTTAGTACATGCGCTTAATACAATTCATACGAATGACAGCAATGTCATGTTTTTGATAAATATATTCTATCCATTTTTATAAAATTCACATTTTAGTTTGGAATCTGCTTAGGCGTATAATCTCAATCTCCAAAGAACAGAGGAAATCGTCTTTATGCAAACACGAGTAATTTTCAAATTTTATTCCGCCATATTGGATCCATTATTAAAATTTCTAAAATTTTGATATTGGACTTGGAATTAGCGTTTATACAAATTCCTCATTCCTTGAATGGACTTTGGATTTTAATCCGCTATATTGGATTTGATGACTTGAATTTGACACTAGATACGGAATTAATGACTGAAAAAATGACACGTATCCAACATTTACAAAATCCTCGCACTTTTTGAATTTTGGCCACTTTTGGTGAGCTCCTGGTCACATTATACATTATTCGTCGTTGGTCACCATGCTGTTGTTTATAGAAACAAGAGATAAGGGATGATTCGGACTGATGTATACACAGTCACAAACGCGTACGTATAGACAGAATTCAGTATAGTAGCAGCAATCTTTTTAAGGAAAAATCTCGGAAACAAAGGTCGAGTGGCGATTATATATAAAGGAAAAAGTTCTTGGAAATATTGATTTTTACAACATATTTAAAAATCATCGAAATGGGTGAGAGCTCTCCCCTTCTCTCAATAATTATCAATAATAATAACGATGCGGAAAACCATAAGATTACCAAAGGAGAGAAAGGAAAAAGAGGAGCAAAATGGAATATGAATGACAGAAATTGTAGACTAAAAAGGTAATAGAGAAATTGATGTTACAGCAGCTAGAGCTGTTTCAAGGATTAAGCGATTGTGTAGAAAAACATTAGAGGGGTGGAGAAGCACAAAAATGAAATAAAGAAAGAAATATGAAAGATGGAAGAGGAATGTACAGGAGAGCAGAATACGAAGAGACAGATTTAATGAGGAGAGGATGAGGGTAATTGAAAGAAGAGAAGTAGACAAAATAAAAAAAAATAAAATGGGATAGAAAGTGTACTTGAAGTTAAAAGCAGACTTGTTACTACAGAAAAGAGGTTAGAAAAGAAAGAAACACAGGAGAAGAGGAGGAATATTGTGATAAAAGAAGTAAAATCGAAGAAGGAAAATAAAGAAAAGATAATGGAAAGAATCAGTGAAAATGTGAAAACTGAAAGCATACGTAATGTGGCAGGATGGAAAGGTACGATGTTGATATAAACGGAGAGAGCTTGAAGCAGAGGACTTGAAGAGAGAAAAAGAAAGATTGGAGGGAATTGAGGATTGTTGAAACAAACAAAAGAAAACAAAAGAAAAAAGGCATAGGTTAAATACAGAAAGATATAGGTAGTATCTAATGAAAATGGAATGAGGAAGCGGGAGTCTTAAAATCTTGAAGAGGAGTTAGTAGGAGCGAAGAGGAGCGAGGTAGGAGAAAGGAGAGATAAGATAGAGTCGAAGAAGAGGATAAGAGGGGAATGAAAGAGAAAGGAAGAAATACGAAATGTAATTAGAGAGTTATCTTTTAGAACATCGCAGGACTGGAAAATAAGAACAATGAATTTTGTTCCGTCGTAGAACAAGAAAGACCTGGAAAACACCGTTACGGTCTTTCAACAGCCAAATCTTTAGGACCAAAACAATTCGGCATCAGAATTTTCCTACCCATGCCTTATGCATGTTTGAAAAACTTTCCTTTTTTTATAACTCCTCGTGTCGCGAAACACGAGAATCCGTGAAAACTCTAATTTAACGAAATTAAATTATTTTTTACTCAACTTATGACTTGGTTGGCAATAGGTCTAAGGGTTCCAGTTGGTCCGCATACGTTGAGATCTTCAGGCCTTAATTTAACGAAATTAAATTATTTTTTACTCAACTTATGACTTGGTTGGCAATAGGTCTAAGGGTCCCAGTTGGTCCGCATACGTTGGGATCTTCAGGCCCTAGCGAGGGACCATAAACGGCGGGTGACCCCGAAGCGATCGCTTTCAGAAGCCCCGTGTACTTACTTACACCTAATCTTGAAAGAGGAGGTTCCCTCCATCATCGTCTTCGCTTGGGAGGACCTCCCTTCCTTTAAGGTGACCGATTTGCTGACCATGGGAACGCCCTTGGTTCAATTCACCAATGAAGATGCGCATATATTTTTGACGAACTTCCGATTTTCCTAACACCGAGCATAGAAAAATCGAGGAGCACATTTCCAATCGAAACCTCGAACAGAGGAGTTCTATGCAAACATCAAGACTAGTTCGATTCCGATCGTCGTTCAGGAGAGTCTAGCGTTCGACTTCAGCCTAGCTCTTCCTTTTGCTCGTGATCGTTTGAAATAATTTTCCAAGATTAATTTCGCGGGCAACATAACGAATTCACGAGACGGATTTACGACCCGTTAGAATTTACCAAAAAATCAATCGTAACGCGATAAATTTTGAAAATGGGAGATTATGTTTCTTTTAGAGACATGACTGAGGGAGAAATGATGGGAGAAGAGTAAATTTCCAAAGGAATACATCGATAGGCAGGATTATTTGTAAAGGAAGAGGAAGAAAAGTTTGACGTTGGAGAAACCGATCTCGGAAATTGAAGGAGTAGTAAAATTGAAAGTTAAGATGCATAATGAGATATGGAAGGTTGCATAGATATATGCTCTTGGAGACGTACAGAAGGAAATGGAGCAAATCAGAGATTGGATAATAAATGGAGAATAGTCGAAGGTAATAATTAGGAGAGATTTAAATGTTAAGAGAATTGGAATTCCCAAAATTTGGGAGGAAAGTTATGGAAAGAAGAAGAGAACACACGTGCAGGAGGAAGGAAGTCAAAAGCCAAGAAAGAAAATTATGAAGGTAAGAAACTGTTAAAAATAATGAAAAAGACTCGGTGGTTTATCTTAAGGGGAATCCTCGTGTAGAACGCTGAAAATGTGGGCATTTTGGGGAATTTTTTCGACAAATCGTTTTGAAAACTATGAGGTTTTGTTAAGTAACTATAAGAGTATAAACAGAATTTTTTTCACATTTTAAAAAATGTTGCAATTTGGAGTTATAGGAGCATATGTGTAGCACGTCCATGAGGAGATCTGAAATTGTCGGCAGCTGTAATTTCTCACCTGTTTGTTCAAAACAGGAATACAAACATTTTTCTTACTCCTTGTGAACGTAGTTAATCGATGAATCTTTAAAAATCTGAAAAAGTTGAAAATTGTTAAAATGAGGCCACTTTGGAAGAAGAATCAATGTTTTCTCGAAAATTTTACGTCTATTTATGTATGAAAACGTTGTTTAAATTATTTATTTTGATTAATTTTTAGGTTCATCGAATAGTACGTGTATCATAATATATGTATGCAAAATTTCAAGTGAATTGCTTATCTAGTTTTTGAAGTATCTTTTCCGGAAATTTGGAAAAAGTTGTTTCGAGAAGTTTCTGGTACAGAAAAATTGAGGAAATAATGTTTATTGGATACTAACTTCGAGATTTTCTACTAGTTTACTATTCCAGGTCCATACCGTAAACCTCCTACTTCCTTAAAGAAATCGTATTGCTCTAATTTCCGTTGTTTTCTTCCAATTCGAGCCTCTTTGCTGCTTTGCACGCTGTGGCGCTTAGACCGCATTAGACCGAGGGCTAATTCTGATTGCTAATGTTTTCATTATCTTCGGCGTAGTGTAATATCTTTCATTAAATATGCCTGCTGTATATATATGCAGCGATTTCAATTATTTTTGAGGCAGAGTGTAGATGCTTTGGAGCTAGCTGCCAAACGGTTGAATTGTAACTTTCATTAGCGATTTTTGTGGACTGTTTGCAAATAAACTTTCTACCTGATAAACAGTAATTTCTCAGAGGACATCAGACAATTATTTTCATAAAGGCAATTGAATATAACTGCTTGTCTATTATCCTAATTTATTGCATTACACAAGTATTCGCTTGCATGCAATAAACATGCTATAGAGATCTTAATATTTGGAGGATTGCATTGAAAATTTCAGAATATATTCTAGAGATATTGTACTATCAATTAAATCAGTAAAAAAAAGTCGATTCTTTTCGGTCTACACCAGAATCTCTCCCTAAACGACGATATGAGGACAAAAGGAGACAAGAGAAAAAATACACATATGTATATAGGGGGGAAAGAAGGAAGAATAATTGATTATGCAGTAACGGATGAAACAGGAAGGCAGAGAATACAAAATATATGAAATTAGGATAAAGAATCGATTCTGGTCATTTTGTATTAATTATCGGAATAAGAAGAGGTACAGAACAAAGGTTGAAAATCAGGTAAAAGGAAAGAAGATTAGGGGAGGAGATTGGACATTAGAAGGTATAGAGAATTTTAAAAAAAGAATAGGAGTAATTGAAAGAACTGGAAGAGGTTCGAAGAAAATGATAAAATTGAATATGGTACGATTTGAAAATACATTGGAAGAAAGAGAACAAGAGGGAGGAAGGAAGAAATCCGAACGGTGGAATAGTGAATGTAAGGAAACGAAAGCAGAAATAAGAAAAAGAGTAACGGGATGAAGAAGGAAAAGAAAAGAGAAAGAAATACAAGAAAGCAAGAAGAGGATATAAAGAACTATTTGAAAAGTGGAAGGAGATAAAGAGAGAGAATGTTAGGAAAGAGACAGGGAAGGTAAGATATGAAGAAAAAGTATAAAAGGTGGTAAACGGAGAACGCAGAAGAGAATATAACAATGGAGGAATGATGGAGATATTTTACACATTTACTGGGATGGGAGATAGTAGTAAAGAATGATGAGGATTACAGAAGATAGAAGAAAGAAGAATCCGAACTTGGAAGAGAGGAAATAGCGAAATAGCGATAAGAAAGGTGAAAGATCTTAAAACGGTGGAAACAAATGAAATCTCGAGAGAAGTATGGAAATATGACGAAGAAGCAATGAAAGACTGGATGTGGGAAACATGTAATAAAGTAAGTAGTAAATAAAGGACAGGCAGGCTTTATAGAAGGAGTAGAAACAATAGATAGACAAAAAGAACCTTAACACTTGAATTTTACAGTTCACACGTATATGCACACAACGTAGTCACTGTACACATTCATCAAATTATATAATATAGAACACCCTGTATAATACAGAAATACATAAGGGTGGAAGGAAAAGTGATAGTTAGAGAGCTTTCTTTACAGACTTGAAAGGGGCTTTAGATTCTGTAGACCGCGAAAAATGTTGGTAAACAATAGAAAAGAGGGGGATCGGAGAGTGAAGCAAATATATCATATATGAAAACGGAAAACGGAGTCGGAATAGGTTGCGAGAGAAGTGAAGCAGGGATATTTATTGAGTCCGCACCTTTTCAATGTTTTTTCGGTGGATTTGGAAAAGGAATTGGAAATAAAAGTGGGAAGGGGTTCAAATCAAAAACTCAAGGATTTATTGTCTTTCTTATACCGATGATATTATCATAGCCGCAGAAGATGAAAAAGAAATGCAAGAACTAACGAAGAGATTGGAAAATACATTAAACGAAAAGTTATATTTAAGCGTATAGGATTAAAACAATGAGATTCAAAGTGAGAGCAGGAAAAATGCGAAAGATGGAATGGAATTGAAAAGAAAAGAGGATCGAGGAAGTTAAAGAATTTACATATGCATCTGAGCTCTAGATCGATGAAAAATGATGGCCAAGGAACCCATATAAGAGGGAGAATTCAAAACACATATTCCACGATATTTTTATTATCGTGTTACTTCTTCACTTATAATAGTGAAAATACGAACATTTAGCCTTTAACATCGATGGGAAATGGAAAATATCGTTAATTAATTAGTCAAGATCAGTTATTAATTAGTTATGGAAAAAGAAAGTAATTGGTTAAAAATAGTTATAAAAAAAAGAAATATTTGGAAAATTTGTTTAACGGAACGGAATTCTTTATAATTCCGAAGGAAAACATAAAAGGATATCTATCTACTATTGTCGCCACATGCTAAGGATTTAATTTACAGCCTCGATACATCGTGGCTCCTATGGTACCACTTGTTTTGTATTCGTTCCTACTTGGCTAACTTTCTATCTATATACTTCTTAAAATATTTCCATTTTTATCTCTATTTTTAGAGATACATTTTTTTCTCTTATTTAAACTTAATCCTAAACTATAAGTTTGTTTGTCATAGTGTAGTTCGGAATCAGAATTACATAAACAATTCATATTAAACGATACTTTCGCTAAAGTGAAAAACTATACAATACGTATAACGAAAATATTAGATTATAACACGGAAATCAAGAAATTATATGAGTTATAAAATTGGCGATATAATATATTTCCTTACGACTAAATATTTTTATCGCAAAATTGTTTATTTTAAAGATATGATTGCATCGAAGATTGAGTTAACTATTAACATGAACACAGCGCAGAACACAAATTTTTTTTCAACTATCGAAAACTATCGACAGTTGTTCAATAGTGAGAAACCATGGAGAGTTTCGATAGTTTTCCATATTGATCTGTAATGAGTACCATATTGATCTATATTATCGATCTTGTTTCTTTTATTTAGCCATCGTTATAATTATTCATCCTGTTTCATTAAGGAAACCAATCTTTATTTTCTTTGTTGAAAACATTGTGTATTAAACTAAACATAGGCGAAAGAATTTAACTATTACAAAAACCTATTTGTATTTTAAACTGTAATTTATTTTTCTAGGTACAATATATATAATAATAATAATGCTATTTAATCTTCCTCTCTATACTAAATAAAATTAATGATGACCATGATCATCATGATCATCATGATCATCATGACCATCATGACCATGACCATGTGTAGTCTCATACGTAATTCCAAGAGATCTTTCAATGCCAATTGTTACTAAAAATGCTGCAAATCCAACTACCATGCCCCTGGTTAATATTCTGAATGCCAACCATCTATGATTACCAGGAATTCCAGTATAACGCCAAACTTCATTTCTCAACCAAGGATCCTTCAATCCGTGTTCGGATAATTTTTCCTGTACCAGTTTAAGCTCTGGCACATCCTCTACTTTGTATATATCAGGATTTGGTATTTTTGGTTGTCCCCCATGGCCTCCCATCTTTCTTTAAAGAATATCTGAAATTAGAATAATTGAATAATTAAATATTTAAAGCTTTACATATATACATACAGTGCTGGACAAAAGTATTGGCACAGCACGGTTGTTGTGGTTCAAGTGCTTATAACTACTAAACAAATTGATTTGAAGGAAAAACTTTTTGACATATTCATTTATTATCTATTCTAGTTTTATTACATAGTAGAAGTAATAAAATAAATACATTGATGCACGAAACAATAACAAAAATGTATTTATCGAACATTTTATGGGTGGACAAAAGTATTGGCCAATACTTAATGCAAGGAATTAAAAGGTACAAATTCGTTCTAATTTCTGAAATTGCACTTTGAGATATTTCGATTAAGATATTTAAGATATTTTGAACGAATGCATTAAAAAATAAAAAACTCAAGCGTCAATCAATGACATAATTCGAATTTTTTCACAACTGCTTTTTCCGTAATTTTACATTAGGTAAAGGATTAATCGGTTGGTTAATCAATGAATTTTTAACTTATAGAAAATAAAACGACAAGAACTCTTTGATTCGATTAATTGCAATAACATAAATAATATAAACAAACTGGTTATATAATAAATAATAATAATTCTTTATATATTACACTTATTTGCTTATTAATAATTATAACGATTAAAATAAACAATAAAAAGTTTAAAATTTATTTCTTTCGTATGATATATTAATAAAGTAATTAACCGATTATCGAATAATAATAAATCAGACATATCTCTTTCAGTCTTTCTTTTACTAAGTATTATTAGGTAGATCATTGACAATGGTTTACAAAAATTTCAAATATTTTTAAATGTTTGAAATATTAAATAGAGCAGCGTATTCAATTTTAAAATTATGTATAATGCAGTATGCTAGAAGAAATAGACATTATCGCAATAACTTGATCACATCTTAGTTATCTGAGATAGATTAGCTACGTGAGAAAGAAAAACCGAGATGCACCGAAATAAGATTTAACAATGGTAAGTTGCAAAATTAAAATTGAAAGTCAATCAACAATTTTTTTCTGTTTCATTGTTTGACGTTAAATATCTACAAGTACGAAATGCAGATAGACCTCGTAGAAGGGCTTATAATACCCACTATGAAACCACTAAAACCAATCTTTTCGACGTAAAATCGACTTTTATTATTTAGAAATATTCGATACCATGAATGAGTTTCTTCGCGACACACTGTATGTAAATAGAGAAATTAGTTAATAAGTATATATATAGATTCTACTAAAATTTCGCATTCAAGATATTTATCATATAATATTTAAATATATTTTCTTTTTTCTACAAAATATTTAGAAGAAAAATCAGATTACAATATCTCATAAAAGAGAAAAAAACTAGACTCCCAACACAATTTTCAAAATTCTGGACCGAATATGAGAATACTACTTTGAATTTATGAACAATCTAAATAGACCGAGGTGTAGGATAACTATTCATATAGTTCACAAATTTAATGAACTCTAAAAATAAATGTCCAATTAACGTTATTCTATGGAATGTTGCCAGCTTAAAATACAAGATCAAAAAATTACAATTTTATCTGATGCAACACCGTGTATACATAATCCTCATTTCAAAAACATAACGCTGTCTTCCCAATAAATAATACATTACCACAGAAACAACTAGGTCACTAGAATTCAAGTATCAAGCAAAGAAAAGTTAACATCATTACCCATAACTCTATACTATTTAAAATTTATGATACATGTATCACAGCTCATTACCATTACCATAAAAATCATCGCAATTCGATTCAAAACAAAATCTTAATACGCTGTAAATAATAACAGGATTTCAAATATTTCGAGTTGTTTCGAGTCTATATAAAGCCTAGGAATTAAGAAAGTGGCCTAAGTGGCGTATTTTTCATTTTTATTTTCATTAGAGGCATTATAAGTTTTGCACCTGACAAAATGGCAGAATTAACTTTATAAGCAGAACTAAGAATTTAACAGGAATATTAAGTAATCAGGAAATTCAAATTTTTTTAAACTTTGTGAGTTCGTTGGGAACTTGGATATATATTGTCAATTATCTTTTTCACTGCAATTCGGTCCTTCAAGATGAAAATAACCCTAATATGTATTTAGCTGATTGTACTGAACCTAGAAAACAAGAAACTCTTTTCGGACCAAACAATGTTTACATTTCTGAAAGAAATCTGGAAAATTAACGTTAAATAAGTTTAAAAATTAGTTAACTAATGGTTTTTTATCAAACACTGGAGTGCAAAGCGTGCTATTGCTTGATTCCTAGGGAAGCCATTGTTCAAGTCAATTTAAAATCGGAGATACTAAAAGAGAAAAGAGCGATATTTGAAATAATATAAAAAAATGACAACAGGATTAATTTAATCCCTAGATGTTTATTGTTTCCGAATATGAAAAAACTTGATTAGATCGTTCTCCAATAAAGTTGCATTGTTAAATTTAGATGTTGACCTTTATTTTCAAAATATTATTATACGATTGCAAAAGTTAACTCATAATCGATTATTATCGCCTCATTTTTATAATTTTTTCAAATATGCTTGGTATAAAAGTAGTTATTTTCCAGATAGATCTAAACTATTTGAAAATCCAGGGAATTATTGCTATTCGACTACAGATACTATGCCACGTTGTGCAGTGTGTGGAAAGGATGTATTATTACTACGCACCCGGTATAAAAAGTATCTTTGTTCCCAACGATGTTTTAAACAATACCACTTTTGCAATAAATACGAACCATAAACGATAAAGGTTTAACGATTATAAACACATATGTATGAGTATAAGAGAATATTTGTTGTATATATTATACTTTATTAATGCTGTCCACAATAATTGTAAAAAAGTTTATTATTTTGTTACTGTAGCGACCATCATTCTCATCCTCGCCACTAGATAGATTTCAATCTCAAGGAGATTCGAGGACTTTCTCGCAAGTTCTCGGAAAACCTCTACTTTCTTTTCCTTTCGTCCTTCTACTTGCTACCCTTCTAGCACCACCACCACGACCAAGAGGATACCAACAGGCAGCACCGTAGGAACCACCAAAACCCGTGAGGGGAACCCTCACATTACCAATAGCAAAAAAAATCTTGTCGAAGTTCGAAAAGAATAACGAAATGAATTTCATCGTTTATATAATTGCATACATTTGTACATGTATTACGCCATTTGATGGAAATATACATCATAAGAAAAGCTACACGATGATAGATAGTACATCGTGAGAAATGCAACAGTGACTATGTAAGATGCACATATCGAAAGTTATAAACTACATTGTATAACAAGCTTATCATACTCAGTTGTATTTATATGATTTTTCACGAGAAAAAAAATGAAATATTATTTAATGTTAATGGCAATAATGAACAATTTTTTATTTAAATAAAAAGATATATAAATGAATTAGCATGCGTGCACTTAATTTTGGCTAATTGTAAGGCGAATAGACCATCAATATATCAGCGTATTCGGTGGATATTCAAAGTCGATTATCTCGATAACGAAACTATAAATGAAAAAATTTGATTCTTTATTTTCGATTTGTCCTTTCAAATAGAGTCATCCCCTTCTCCTCGGTTGTACCACCGATGCTGATGTATCAATGTTCCATCCATGTATCGATGAATATTCAAAGCCGATTTTTTCGAAAACAAAACTTCGAATCAAAAAATTGTATTCTTTCTTTTCATTTCGTTTCTGTATGTAGAATCACCCCCTTTCCAATTGTACTACCGTTGCTGGAACACCCTGTATATGGGATGCTTAAAAAGTAAGATCCAAGACTTAAAAGGCTTATTGTTAAACGTGTACTAGTACTTCGCGAGAATAGTTCCTCCAATCAATCTTCTCGTCTAATTCGTCTCGTATAATCGTCTCGTATAATTTTTATCATTTCTTAATGCCCGATATCGTGAGTGAGTTTGTTCGTAACGTAATGAATGTAAATAGAGGAATTAGTATAGTATAGTAATATATTCGTTCACATTTATCATAATCACCTGAATTGAATTCCTTTTGGTAGGATCGTTTAAAACTTTAGCCTGCTCATCGCTCCTAAATAATAGCAGAATTATGGCAACAGGTAGGAAATACAACGGAAGCGGGATATAATGAATATTTATTGTATATTTATTGTAACATAGGATGTTAGATATGGCAGTTTGAATTTAATGTAGGGTTTAAATTGTTAGCGAGCGACATCTTGCGGGTATTTCGCGTAATAAAATTTGAATGTCATCGATTACCGATACATTGATCATACATAATGTACGATGTAATAAAATGAAATGTATAAAGGGATCTGCACGTGAATTAATCGTGATATTAAATTGCCTCTCTGGTTCGTTGCGAGTTTTGGATGTTCAAATATCATTCAAATTCTAACATAAGAGGTTTTTGCTACTTTTGCTTCTATCGATTAATAATCTTTTATCGATTTTAGTAATCATTTTGTTGGCGATCTTGAGCTAATGCACCTCTAAATCAATTTCTCTATTCGAGATATCGAATATTCGTAAATAATAAAAGTCAATTTCACGCCGAAAGAATTGATTTTAGAACCCATGTTGATAAGATATCTTTTATTAGATTAAATTAAATTAAATGTTTTCCTCTCGATGAATAGTATAAGGCTAAAAGCTTTCGACTCTACTTTTTAAACACCCCGTATAAAAATAGATTGGAATTGCTCAAGTTAAAGCATTAAAGATGCAGCATGATAGGATTCGGAAGGACATTCGAAAATTCTTTAATATCTCGTCAACGAAAACGGAATTACTGTATAACACAGAAGAAAAGTATAAACTTCTATTTATATTACATATATAATACGATAGAAGACTACTCTACGGTACAGGACTAATAGTAATCAGACTGAGAAAAAGAAAATATCCATATTCACCATTAAGAGCTAAACTAAATGGAATAAACGATTTTTCATGTAACTGAGTGGTGTTTTGAGCCTGTGAATGAATGAGCGTGCAAAAAAATAAATTGATACAATCAATATTTTATTATAATCTTATTTTGATATCAATAAAAACAAAATATAATTAACAAAGGAGATATTGATGGATAAAAAGAGTACTTTCAATTGCTTTATATGCACGTCTACTAAATCTATATAACTGTTCAATTTTGCGTGTACAAATTATATTTCAATTCTTCTGCAATATTCAGTTCTAATTAAAATCATGATGCTACTTTCGCCCATTTGTTAGTAGCTTAATAGCTTCCCTTAGTAAATCGATTAAATCTTCTCTCATTAGTAAAAATAACTTTCATCATTTCTTCACCTCGATATTAGATTCTTTTTCCGTAAAGTGAGAAACACCAATCTAAAATCGTCGTGATGCATGCATTATATCCTAATAAATATTATTAATGGCAAAATATATAAAGGCGAAAACTTCGAACATTTCTTTTAACATTTTAACGTTGCGCGAACATTTCTTAGATGGGAGATATTCTTTCTGATCAATTTCTGTTTGATCGATTTTTGAAACTTTTTGCTTCGGATAGGTCAATCTTTTTCAACTCAATTTAGATACAAACTTGTAGTTTTATAAGTATTTCCACCTCAAAAGTATTTACAATTTTTTTCATACAAAAAGAATAAGAATTGAAGCAGTTATAGTCAGTCTAATAAAAAGGTTCTAAAAAAAAAAAAAAATAAAGTGTCTCTATGGTTGCCATGATTCAGGTCGTTATGTTCATAAGAAATGAAAAATCACAAAGCATTCTATTCAGGGTGAATGTGGTTACAGCCGAAACTAAAATCTTCAAAGAATATTAAAAATTAAAAATTTAGCAGCACGTCAAAATCAAATAATCGATCTTTCGTTATTTTTTCTTCACATTTTGCAGGCTAAAAAAAAATAGTAAATTTTCTATATCTTCTATTTTTATAAATTACTTATATGTTTAAAATCAGAAAAGAAAATGCCAAGAAGGTATGAATAAATAATTTATGTACATTAAAAGCATTGTAGCGCACAAAATTTTGATGTTGCTAATTAATTGCAAATAGAATCTCTTAGAGTGAATAAGAAACATGTGAAATAAATCACAATGTATTATGAGTTAAATTTTGCATAAATATATTCTAATTATATAAAGAATTTTTATTTTTCAACTTAAACTGAATTAAAAGGATATTTTTTCACAAATTTATAACGAATTACTAAATATAAATATAAATCTGAAACTATGATAATACATATACATTAATCCATGTGCCATAATAAGAGAACATATTCAATCCGCACGCACCAAAATTGATGTAATTTATATGAGAGATAGTTCTCAAAAAAATATTTTAGACGTATTTTTGTATCGACCATCGCTCATATTAAAGGGGTGAAAATAGCCCTTCAATCAAAATATTTATAACGTTAAATAGTAGCAATTTTTCTATCGATGAAAATGAATTTGTGGTAAGTAGATGAGAAAAGAAAAATAGTAATCCATATAAATTTGGAATTGATTAAATTTATCATGTAAAAATTTATATTATATAAAATATTTAGTACTTTCGATATTATAATAAATATCTTAATAGAAACATAAAACTTATAATCGTAAGTCATTCAAAGACGATATACATAGATCATGAAAACCTATGTCCTTACAGCTATAATAGATACGGTTTCGCGAATCTACATGCTGTACTGTTTATAACTACTTAAAAAGCAACCAATAATTAACAATTAATCAAAACGTTGAAAAAGTTTACTATACTCCAAGAATACAATCCGGAGTGCTTCGCATCGCACGAACAATTGAAGATTATTTATATAACAATTATTATTTACAGATTAAATATTACGTTAATTACAGATTACGTATATTAATTTACATGAAAGTGAATTAAGATTTAGTATGACAAACGAGGTAAAAAATTCCAAATTTTTAATATATTACTTAAACAAATTAATTTTTCTTAAAAATTTCTATATAGCTGCATTTTCTATATAAGAAGGAATATATTTGAGAAAAAATTTTGCACTAGACTTTTTGGTTCCTGATATATTCCAAAAGATATGCTTTAACCCTTAACTTTGGGAGCTGTTTTCACTGCTTTCTTTATAAATGCTTTAACATAGACGATGATTGATAAAAAAAAAATATGTGTCAAATATCTTCTTCAGAACTATCTCTCATATAAATTTCATCAAATTCATGTGCGGGTTGGATATGTTTTCTGTAATATTAATTTTGTATAAATTACAATTAATAAAATAGAATTTTAATAAATTTATTTTAAAGCATTTGTGTATTTTAGAAAAAATAAACACATTTATTAATAAAAGATACTTTTAAACTATAAAACAATTTTTAAGATCTCTATTATCCATATATATTTTAATCGTTGATTTTTTTAGTAGCTTGTACATAACAAGATATTGTAAAATAATAATTATTAATTACCAACTACTAATTACCGATATAAATCTAGTAATACAAAAAAAAATAAAAAAAGAATATTTTTTTACAGAAATATATAAATATTTTAATAAGCAAACATCTTTGTATCAAAATCACAGTTTTTAATATTTTAATACTGACATAATAATGCAGCTTAATTTAAAAAATACCAAAATCAACTATAAATAATATTATTAATCTGCGATAAAATTGAATGAAGAAATCACATTTAACATTACAGACAAAAATTGACTAATATTTAAATAACTGCTCATATATGTTATTTTATTGCAAAAAGTTTTTGTAGTAAGTAATGATTGTATTTAATGATCATGCATAATAATGATTATCGTTAGACACTAATTCATTTTTGTATATTTTCAAATATAAATTACATAATTATATTTATCATTATAAATATTATATTAGATAATTTCTTGTTCATATACTTCTAGTATAAATAATATTTTATAATGATACTTTAATAAATACACATTATAGAAAACATTATTTCAGAATGAATTAACATATAACACAGAAAAATTATTACAGAAATTACATAAAATGTCGCAAATGTTACTCTATATTATAACACAAAAATACATCTTCAAATTAATTTCATTACCCCAGCATAATTTTGCAAAAGCTTTTATATTAGAAAATAGTCAATTATTTCTACTTTACAACCATTTAATCAATGTAGTTTTTGTTAATTATATTATTTATTACTTCTCAGTTTTCAATTATGATAAATAATTACTTCTTCCTTTCTTAATTTCCTTGCAAATATTATACATGCTTATAATAGATAAAATAAAAATATTATTGTATTGAATGTAGAATTTATATATCCTTTGAAATGATATATAACACATTTGAAATTATATTATAAGTACCAATATATCATCTTTAGTTAGCTTATTTTAATAATTTATATTAATAATAAATTAATGGTCATAATTCTAAAGAATAATATGTAACTTAATAAAACATATTATAAAGTTATTGTGTTACGCTGTTAGTAATTTTTCTCTTTTTTTAAATCCTTTCAAATAATGTTTTTATACTCTAATGATGTACAAGTTTTTAAATTAAAATTTTTACTATATATACACCGTTTTCAAATTCATGGATTTTATCATTATTTTTATTATTAGAACTATATCCTTATTCTCATTAATCTTGTTAATATAATTCAAAACAAAAAAAGAATAATATGAAAACAAAATTGTATCAAAGATGGGATAACTAAAATATTACAAATAAATTTAAAAAGATAACAAACATTTCTTTAAAAAGTTAATTTATCCAGATTTTATAATAAGAACAAAAAATTATGAAATAAAGTCTTAATCATTTTATAACATTATTTAAACTTTACTAAAATACAAATATAAATATCGGTATACTAATCACTGATATCTTATATAAAGAAACCATTATGCAACTTATATGAGCAATAAATGTTAATTTACTATTGAATGTTAAGGTTAGGATATTACATGTATATTGAATGCAAAATTCGTTACCTATCTTATATTGTTTTTGATAGATTTAATAAATAAAGTTTAAAAATTGTGTTTATACTTTTACAAAAATAAGAAAGAATTGTATAACTCACTTTCAATACTGATTACAGCTGTTCACGTACGCAGGCACGTAAAATTTTGACGCATACGAAAACTATCTCGTACTTACGTAGCAATGAATATAAATTGTTTTTAATAATTCAAATATAATACAATTTTAATGATAATTAAAAAATTGTATATAGCCTATAACGTTTATTATTAATTTCATAAATACATTGTTTTAAAAAAATTAGACGTTTTCTTTTTAAATAAACTTTTAAATAATTAGATTTTTATATTTATTAAATTATAGCATAAAAATTTGTTAAGAAATATTTACTACTCATTATTTAACTATTAATACAAGGCATAAACAATTATATAAAGCTATGCAATTATAATATGTAATAAATATATGATGTCAATACAAACAAATGAATTGAAGATATTTTTTTATATTTTATGTATAGTATAATAATTTGTACCTAGTTATTTAAAATTATTGTATAAAATACATTTGTATAAAAATGTTTAACCTATGAACTAGTACTATAATAGAATGAAAATTATAATTACAATAATACTTATATTTTCTTAAGCATTTGTGCATTTGTCTCTAAAATGTAAATTATGTTAAATATGTACGTTTGCATGACATATTAATATATTATAATCCAATAAACATTATTTAATTATTATTGTTACAGAGAAAACAACTGTAAACTTTTCATTTTAAATTTTAATTAATTGTAACTTAATAAAACAAAAATCTAAAAAATAATTTTTGAAACGTTATACGTATAATGTAAAAATATATACATATTATAAAGGAATAAAAATCAAGAGATTGTTGTATGTAATAAAACTAAATTCCTTATTCTATTATTAGGTATGTTATAAAATTACATTATAAAATTTTAAATTAACACGATAACGAAAATACATTTACTAATAATGAGTAGACTAACTAAGTTCTCAGTTTATATTTTTTAAAAAATACGTTACAAAACTGCATTTCACTATAACTTCGTAAGTACATCGCTAGGTGGATGTTCATTCAAGTACATCTTTTTACATAGACGTTTGCCCATCTGCTTTCAAACGTAGCCCTTCGAACTAAGCATTTCGATTGGAGAATCACATTCAACCTCTATTTCCGTATCGAAAATTTTCTAAGTTGACGTTGAATAGCGATTCAATGGGACAGTTTGCTTAATTTCATTAATACAATGTCCTATATGAAAAATGACAATGAACGTGCAATCTAAGTGATTTAAAGGAAAACAAACGTGCATGGTGTATAATTATGTGACTGAATGTGAAAGAGTAGCATTAAAAAAATGTTTCATCACGAATACGAGAAACGGCTGTTGAAGTCAAATAGCGAGAGCCATATAGATAGTCTGGCAGGCCCTGGACTTCATTCGTCAGTATATTTTTCGCCAACTAAAATGATGAATAATAGTTTCGATCGATTTATACCGACACGATCAGGCAATAATTGGCAAACTACGTTTTCAATGATATCAGAGAACAATCGAAACGGCATAGTCACAAAAAAAACTCGTGAGAACGGAGAAAGTAATCGTGATGGTATTGCTTATTCTTGTCTTCTAAAAAACGAACTTCTTGGAGCAAGCATAGAAGATGTAAAAGGACAGTGTGAAGAACGAAGAGTGTTATCACCATTAGTTACCAGAAATCTCTTCAAATACATTACACCTACAAAAGACCACACATTATTGGATCAAAGTTCACCTTATTCTTTGTCACCGTTAAGTGCCAAGAGTCAAAAGCTTCTAAGATCCCCAAGGAAAACAACAAGAAAGATTTCCAGAATACCTTTCAAAGTACTGGATGCTCCTGAACTACAAGATGATTTTTACCTAAACCTTGTTGATTGGTCTTCTCAAAATGTTCTTAGTGTTGGCCTAGGTAGCTGTGTCTATTTGTGGTCTGCGTGTACCAGTCAAGTGACTAGACTATGTGATTTATCCAGTGATGGTAATAGTGTAACATCAGTTGCTTGGAATGAAAGAGGAAACCTAGTTGCAGTTGGTACACATTTGGGCTATATCCAAGTTTGGGATGTAGCTGTGAGTAAACAAGTAAGCAAATTACAAGGACATAGTGCAAGGGTTGGAGCACTAGCTTGGAATGGTGAAGTTTTATCATCTGGTAGTAGAGATAGGTTAATATTACAAAGAGACGTCAGAACTCCTTGTGTTGTCAGTGAAAGACGTTTAGGAGCTCACAGACAAGAAGTTTGTGGTCTCAAATGGTCTCCAGATAACCAATATTTAGCCTCTGGTGGAAATGACAATCGTCTTTATGTATGGAACTTACATTCCCTTTCACCAATACAAACATATACTGAACATGCAGCAGCTGTTAAAGCTATTGCGTGGTCTCCACATCATCATGGTCTTTTAGCTTCTGGTGGTGGTACAGCAGATAGATGCATCAGATTTTGGAACACATTAACTGGTCAACCAATGCAGTGTGTAGATACTGGTTCTCAAGTTTGTAATTTGGCCTGGAGTAAACACAGTTCAGAACTAGTCAGTACACATGGTTATTCTCAAAACCAAATTTTGGTTTGGAAATATCCTAGCTTGACGCAAGTTGCAAAATTAACAGGACATTCATATAGAGTTTTATATTTGGCTATGTCACCAGATGGTGAAGCTATTGTAACAGGTGCTGGAGATGAAACTTTGCGTTTTTGGAATGTGTTCAGTAAAGCGCGTAGTCAGAAAGAAAATAAGTCTGTATTAAACCTCTTTACTAGTATTCGATAAATTAATATAAAAAAATAATGATTTTATGTATAATACATAATATATACATTATTCTAGTATTCTGAAAAATTATGTGTACAACATATATAACTAATAATTTACAAACATTTAGTTAAATGTAAGAATGCATTCTGAAATCTATTAAGATTAAGTATAGATGCACAGCCTATTGTTCATTAATTTTTATGTGCAATAAGTTATTATTCATAAAACCATGCCCTTCTAAAGAAAACAAAGATGATATATAGTTTTTATGTATTTTTCACACAAATATTTTTATGTACAAAGCATTAAATTTATATCTCATCAATGCAATATCTATTTTTTACATGAAATGTATATCTTTTATATTTTATCTTATTACACAATGCTATTTACAAATAATTATTGATTAGCCATTTATATTTTTTGTTTATTCTAACAAAATTCAATGACTAAGTATTTAATAATTTACTTTAGATATACACTATAAAACATAAAACATTATACAAAGAGAACGTAATGTTAATTACTGGGGTTAATTTTTAATTGTAGTATTGCATACAGTTTCTTTTAAGGGCATATTATATATTTGTAAGACTTCCAAATATTTATACTCTTTAATTTTTTATAAAATCTACAAATTTTCAAAGAATATTTCTTACAACCTTATCAAAATTAATTATATATGAAATTTACATAGGAAAGGTATTTATATAAAAGAAGGTTGTTTCTTAATTACCAATTGTTTTTCCACTAAAACAACTTATATTAATTTATATTTTGCAACTAGCAAATTGTACAAACAAATTCAAATATGATTTATAAAATAAATTCATTTATTTATACTAAAATGAATATAATATATTGATATATTTACCTATACATTCTAAAAGAAATTTAGAAAACAATTAATTAAAATACTATAAACATTCTAGTGTAGTAGAGTTAAAAATTTATACTGTATAGTTTTCAAAGAATATGTATAATCTATTTTCCAAAATCTTAAAGGATATCTTAAAGCTATGTAAAAGGAAATAAATATATTCTGACATTAAATGATGTGATTTTTTATAAAGATGTTTGTAAATTACATGACCTTATTGCATTATATTTCATATGATACATTAAAAATTAATTAGTAAGTGCATATATCTGCAGTTTTAAACATTATTAACACTTTCTTTTTAAATATTGCTATGATAATATATGAGATTTTAACACCATAATAATATTTAAACAGAAAATACCAATAATTCTAACTTATATTTTATACAAAATCAATGTAGAGATAGAAATTTAAACACTATGATGTATTTGGAATAAATACGCTTAGTTATTAAAACTACGATAAATGCATATTACATGTAATGTAAGTATATAGATACAATTATTGTTAAATTTATTAAAAATATAAAAAAAAATTGCTTGATTTAGAAAAAAAAGCAAAATAATATGCACAACTGATTTGATATTTCATAATGTATCAAACAAATAAAAATAAAAATGCATAATAAATTAATGGTTGTAATAATGTAATTTTAAATTTTGAATCAATGAGAATGTATATGTACATTGATAAATGTATAAATGTGTAATTATACATCAAAGTAATTGTTTTTGTAATATAATATATATGGTAATATTGCATACTACGAATATAACAAAGATATATATAATTTTGTGCAAAGAATTAATATTATTGAAATATAAATAGTAATTTAAAAATATTGGAATGTGGTATTATATTTTTTCTTCTAAATCAATCATTTTATATTATCAATAATTAAGAAATAATTGCATATATATACTTACTTTAAACATAACATTATATATGATATATTATTACACTTTCCTTTGCTATATTACATTTATATTTTATAATAATATTAGTTATATACATTTCTAATTCATGCTAATTGAAATGTATCAATTACATATTTGATGTATTAAAAACTGTGTAAGAATGCTCTTAATTGCATAAATATTTAAAATACATTAGTAGTCAGTAAACATTAACAGTTTTCAATTTAAAAAGTTGCTTTTCCATTTATAATGTTAAGTGCAAAACTAAGTACTTACAAGTATAAAGATTTTAAATAATATGTAAAAATGATATGACTGATTTGATTATATACAAATTTTATCAATGTAATTAAATTAAATTAAATGAAAAGTAAAATGAAATAGAAATGTAACAGTGTGGAAGATAAAATTTTCTTTTTATTTCACTCCTCTTTATGTAATTTAGTTTTTCAGAGAAAAGGGTTACAGTACAATTTATTTAAGTATTCATAAAAACAATTTAATGAAGTATCCAGCGTATATAGTAATTATAATATAAAATTATCTGTAAAAATACTAACTGGTAATTTTACATATTTGTTACAAAAACCTGTACAAACATACAATTGTTTTTAGGCTTTAACATATTATTTCTTCATATGTATTTCTTTGTGTAATTTTATTTCTTATTTGATGTATGATTATTATTATTGTTAGTTATTATTATATTATACAAATTATAATTTGTGTTTGTCTTATTTGATGGTGATACAAAATGAATTTTACAATGATATTTTTGCATTCATAAAAAAAGTATATACTTCATATACTTTTACAACAGTCATAATAGTATATTGCATTGTTTATATTACAATTTTTCATTTCCCTGAAAATTAATATAATTGTTTTATATATAAAACTCATTAGTAACAAAAAAAATTGTTTGAATTAATCAGATGATTCCTTATTCAAGAAAATTTGATCATTAAATTATAACAATATTATTTTTCATAGTATTATTATTGATATTGATATTTTATTATTAATAAGTAACTTTATTATATAATTATAAAATATTCTATTCTTATATAATGATTCATTTCCTTGTTTGTGTATAAAAATTCTATGTAAATATAGCAAATATGTACATGTTTTCAACTTTTATTATATTCAGGCATTCATAGTAAAAATATAAAATTATTAAAAATCATTTTCCAGGTTGAACAATTTTTTGTGTCTTAATCATTATATAAAACAATCTATATTATAATATATGTAATTAATGAGAAATAAAATCTAATTGAAAATTAAAAATTTTTAATGTTTAAGGTTTGTCACATTGTCCTATCAAATGTATGTATATTAAAATGTTTAAGTAATTTAAATAGAAATATTTAAATTTAAATAATATTCTGGGTTTATTTTAAACTGTTTAAGATATCTTTATTCATTTTTTACATGTAAAAAGATTTAGTTATTAATATCGAATATTCGACAAATTAGTAGAATATAATATTGTTAAAAGTAAAATAACATAAAATTTTATATAATCTTGTCTACATTATTAAATGAATGATAAAATGACATAAGAAGTTTTTATACGTTTAAATATGTATATTAAAATTTTGAGCGTTTCACACTTAAAGGATTAACTTATACAGAATGAATCATACAGTTAGGCTGGGTTATATCTTTTGTTTGATTAGAGGTAGAAAAATATTAGTCTACTTTCCTATAATTTTATGTGTTAGTAGGTACAACGATGTATGTAACTGAAAGATATAAATGTATTGTTTTTTTAAATGAAACTATATTTTTTCATACAAATTAATTTATCAAAATATTCTGCGTATAAGAGTATAATGATATATTTAAAAAAATTTTATTAAAATGTATGCTTTATTACAGATATTCGAACACTGTTTAGATATTCTGTCACTGTTTAGTAAACACTTTATACATCATTTTCCTATATCTTTAATAACGAAATTAATATAGTTGCTTCTGTATGTATAATATGTATATCAAAGTAATGCGATCACATTCGCTGTTTTCAAGATAATTTAAATCCATTGAACATAGTGGCTAAGGCATTGCAGTGCATGTATCAGACTATCTTTCATCATAAGTTTGCTTTGAGTAATCTGTCGACGTGTATTACGTGTTGGTCCACTATCGGATTGATAGGAACTTAGACAGGTACGTTGTGAAAAAGATTAGAAACTCAAATTTTAGGAATACGGACCAATTCACGAAGTATTTTAAATGCCTAATCAATATAACAATATCAAATTTAATTGTTAAATGATAAATGATATATTATCTCCCAATATGTGTGAATTCTTTGTGATCTACTTGTATTGGTATAGTTATCGAACATTTTATTATTTTTTCAGTGTGTTTATTCATAAACTTTATGAAAAAAGTTACATCATTTTTTATTTATTACAAAACAACAACAATATTGTTACATTTATCTCTTGAATAATTAATATGTTGATATTAAAACTAATATACATAAAATTTCTGTGATATTAAATTTTATCTAATTAAACTTTCATTTATGTTGTATTTTTTCTGTCGTTTGTTATTTCCACTTTGGAAACTTATGGATGAAAATCTTTTTATCAGTTAACTATTTTATAATTTTTATTATTAAAATACTTACATTACGGGAAGACAAAATATGAAAAGTTGATTTTTATCTTCAAAAAATGCAAAATGATTTTAACATTACACGTATATTGTATACAAGTTGCATACTTTTAGCTACAGGAAAGTTATATCATTTTTTACGTACATTATATCTCTAACATGACCTCACAAATAAAAATCCAATGAACCAAGGTCTGATGACCTTGTAAGTCTAGGCTATCGCTTCAGCGAACAAATGTTCAGTTTGACATTAATGCAACAATCCGTAATGAATTTATTAAGTGGAAAAATAATTAAATAGACGTATATTTTTTTATGTTGTATTATTCATTATAAATGTTAAAGATTTGTTTTTCCTAATTGTAAGATCAATCTTTAAAAATAAAACAAAGATTTATAGTTTATACCACAGAGATACATATCTTATATATATTCAAAATTTCAAGTCATTTTATCTATTAGTCGCAAAGTCTTGTCAAACACTTGAAAAACTTAATTTTAAAAAAGAAGTATTAAGATCCTAAATTCACATGAACAATACTTTTTCTTAATAAATAATTTATTTTTCATTCAGCTATACA